GTTTCGGTCGACGGACATGCAAGGTGCCACGCAAAGAACTGCGGGAAATGACCAGGCCTTGTTTTCAGAAGTCCAATTACACAACGGAGCACCTATGGGCCCTTAAACAAAGGATCGGCCGTAAATGATGACATACATGCCTAGATATCGACATCGCGTTGAGATAGCTCATGTTTCAGAACACATCGCCGTTTTGAAGCGTGCAATATAGCCTCTGGGAGAAGAAGTGGCAGCTAATGGAGGCCGTCGCTGACACGGCTGCTAATTACTTTCCAAAGATAATCCGCCTCGGACTCCTAAACGCAATCCCGGAGAGCAACAGCCCAGCCCTGCCAAGATGCCGATTCACTGCGGCAGTAGCCCAGAGAATAGGTGCCAAAGTGGTGGAGAACTCAGCTCTCTGGCGTACCTACACTGACGTTCCCTCGAATCATCAGGCATTCAAGAAGCCAAATCATTAGAACAGAGTGGGCTAGAGCTTCAAGCTTCGGAAAGCCCCTGCCGGCGAAGCGGTCACACACATATGGACAGACACCATCTTTCAGAGTCCATGCCGCGAAGCACATTACGAAAATCCGCGTCGTGTGAAACAGGGTGGCAGTTCACCAGCTGGGTGTAACTTCGCACAAGTGATCCTAGGACCTCCAGCCGTCTCATTACGGCCACATTGACGCGCGAACTTCGAGAGGACGACCTCATCCCTTCGAAACTTCTTGACATATCGATGATTCATGGCTGCGATTCCTGCATACACGCCGCCAGTGGGGCTGCGTGTGGCCATGGATGACTTCCGAGATCATCTGAGCCAGAAATACAATGTCAAACTGCGTAAGTGCCACTGAGAGGGCCATCGGAGTCATTTGGATAACAAAATCTCCTGCGAAGAAAACTACACGGACCTCCACAAATTCTCGGTCACCCGTCTGAACGATTTTTGGATGGCCGCGTGGGATTTCTTGGGTGTTGTATCTTCAGTTAGGCCGGTCAAGGTGAGTTTGGTACCATAGAGACCTCTATATTGAATCTTACTAATTGGCAACCACCTTCAGGCAATTGATGACGATGCGCGTATCGACGAGTTTCCCGAATTCTTCCAGGGAGCAAAGCTCAACTTTGCAGAGAACATCTTGTGTAGAAATCGCACTGGCACTGCGATCATTGATATGAGAGAAGACAACTTGCAGAATCCAGAGAAGTACAGCTGGAATGATTTGCGAAAGCTTGTAGAGCAGTATGCCGACGCATTGAGATCCTCGGGGCTGAAAGGGGGAGAGACTGTTGTGTGTGAGTAGCCCTGGTCTGTGATGCCCTTTGCTTTCGTTGGACCGAGCTTGACTGCAAATAGTGGTCGGCAGCAACTGCGTGCGATCTCTGTCTCTGCAACTGGCGACCGGTGCCCTCGGCGGCATTTTCGCCTCTTTCGCTACCGACATTGGAGAAAAGGCGCTCTGTGACCGTCTTCAAGTGCTTGATCCACGCTTCCTGTTCGTCCAAGCAATCTCCTCGTACAATGGGAAAAAGATCGACATAACCGGAAAGACCGCAAACGCATTTGCGAAGCTAAAGGCAGGAACTTGCGAACTTGTCCTTATAGGCCCTTCTTCGCGACCAGGTGATGGGTAAGTGAGAGATGTCGAGATGGCCACCAAGAAATTGCTAAGTTGGAAGGAAGAATCCCTTTCGATACATTCCTGCTCAGAGGGGTTGGCGAAAAGCTCGAGTATGAACAGCTTCCTTTTTCCACTCCTTTTATCATCATGTTCTCTTCCGGAACAACGGGCGCTCCAAAGGGCATAGTCCATTCTCATGGAGTGAGTACTTCGGAACATCAACATGATGGCGCCCCTGACCGGAGTCTTAGGGACTTACTTTGAACGGACTAAAAGAGCACGTTCTCCACCATAGCGTGGATTCGAATGATGTGCATTATCATTACAGCGGCGTAAAGACGAGATCTGATCCTTCCCCGCTGCTTTCTCGGCTGAAACTGTTTCCAGATCGGTTGGACTCTTTGGAACATCTCTCTGGGATCACTGCTGGCCGGATCAACCATGGTGCTTTATGACGGCAGCCCGTTCTTTCCGGCTGCAGAGAGTCTTTTGCGAGCCCTGTTCGCTCAAGGGTAAATGGGAAATACAGGCAGTCCGGCCCGTGTCGAATGCACTAATAAGTCCATGCGTTAGAGTGACGTCCTTTGGTGCCGGACCACGATATTTTGCGGAACTTCAAAAGCTGAACGTGAAACCGAGTCAGTATGGGGCCACTGGATATTGTCGACCAGGCCGACTGATCATCATCGTTCACCAGAGACATTCGCACCGAGCTTGCGTACAATTATATCGACTGGAGCTCTCCTTCCTGTGCCCCTTGCAAAATGGCTCGTTGAGGCATTTGGTCCAGTATACCAAATCAATATGTCAGGGGGGACGGAACTTTGCGGGTGCTGGGTTCATGCTACACCAACTCAACCTTCCTACCCAGGTGAAAGCTCCGTTATCGCCTTGGGTATGGACGTCGCGGTCTTTTCGCCCGCTGGCAAGGAGGTTCCTCGTGGGGAGAGCGGAGAACTGGTCTGCCGAAAGCCCTTCCCCAATATGCCGACGATGTTTCTGAGAGATCCGGACCGCAAGAGATATTTCAGTTCGTATTTTGCTGGGTTTCCCCGTATGATTACCTATCGACCCCCTCCGAAGGTGCTATTTGCGTAGACAAGACTGACGTTCCGAAATTGTTAGATGTCTGGACCCACGGAGATTTTATGAGAATCAATCCGGAAACAGGAGGTATTTACATCCTAGGAAGATCGTATGACGTTGTCCGCACTCCCTCAACTTCTGATATACTGACCAACAACACCAGTGATGGGGTTCTCAACCCCTCTGGAATCCGGTTTGGAAGTTCGGAGATCTACAATATCCTCCTGACACCCAAATTCGCGCCGTATATCACCGACGCCTGCGTCGTGGGCCAACAGAGGAACCAAGCACCATACTTTGACACGACCGAGAAAGTCGTCCTTTTTGTCAAGTGCGCTCCATCAGCGAGAAAGCCACAAGATCTGCACCAACTGGACCCCGATCTAGAACGTCAGATCCGCGACCAGATCGCCAGTGACCTGAGCAGAAGACATGTCCCGACGTTCATCTTCAGAGCGGCCGAAATCCCCTACAACGCCAACGGCAAAAAGCTGGAGATTCAAGTGCGAGCCATCCTCTGCGGAGGGAAAGGCGCCATGGCGAAACTGAAAGTTACCGAGGAGGAAAAGAGGGCCCTCGCCTCGTTTTTGCCATTTTACAATATCGAGAAAGTCGTTGAGCGAACAAAAGGATCGACAACCTCCAAGCTTTGAAGCTTCAGACTCAACTTCGGCCGAAGATGTGACATCTATCTCCCTGGATGTAGTGCGACTAGAGTCCAAGAAATTTGGGATGGTCGGTGCAGTTTCCAGAATACTATAGACCTGCATATGTAGCAACACCCACGACCTCTATCTCCACACTCAAATCGTGCCCAATGCAACGTCTTTGACCTCTTCCAGCTCCTTCTGCCGCTTGCTGTGGCTTCCCACGACCCGGGCATAGCAATCCGGCCCCAAGGGCAGCCTCAAGACGTGGTCTGACAGGTGCTCGCCCACGCCGACGCCCACCACGACCTCGAAGATGCTCTGCGCGGCTTTGATCGGATCCGTGAGTGTGGACGGGTCGATCGAGTGAAACTTGCCGAGTGTCTGGGCCACGGGGCTGGGGCCTTCGCCGTACGCCGAGCCCGGCGGGACGAACTGCATGGCCGCGTCGCTGAAGAAGTTGGTACCGAAACCGCCTGGCTGGACGACCAGGACGCGCACACCCAGGGGCCTCACCTCGCCCGACAGCGACTCCGACCAGGCCTCCAAGGCGCACTCGCTGGCCGAGTAGATGGCGCAGGTGGGCAGGGGGTCGGCGCCCGCCACGCTGGAGATGTTGACGACGGTCCCGGACCTGCGAGACCGCATGAGCGGCACCATCGCCTGGGTCGTCCGCACCGCGCCCCAGAAGTTGACGTCGAACTGGTCCTTGGCTCGGTCTTCGGGGATCTCTTCCGCGGCACCCAGAATGCTGTATCCGGCATTGTTGACCAGGAAGTCGATGCCGTCAAACTCCCTCCACGCCTGTTGGAGGACCCTCTCAATTTCGACCTTGGGCGACGTGACGTCCAGGGAGAGCCATCGTCCGTTCGGGTGCGAGGTCACCTCTCGGACGAGATCTGGCGTTTTGCCGGGATTGCGAGAAGTCGCGATTACGTTGTGTCCCTGGGCGAGACCGTAGCGGACGAGTGCCAGCCCGAGGCCTGAGGAAGAGCCCGTTATCACCCAGGTGGGAGCCATGGCGGTGAATTCAGAGGAAGTGCTTTGGTCAACCGAGAGCAGTGCTTTGAAGAGGAAAGATACTGCGTTCTTCGGCCACAGCGAGACTTTTATAGCCAAAAAGGACTCGATGAGAATAGATCATTGGGGCGCACAAACAACTCTCCTCAGAGAATCACGGCGGGGGAACGATACAACACGAGTCACGACATCTGTTAACAGTGGCAGGAGAGATATAAGATCGGAGATAAATGTTATGACCGGATGTCAAAAGTCTAAGTCTACGTCTATGCTATAGCACACCTCGGGCAGGCTTCTGACGATCAAAAGGCGACTTGGCATCGCCGTCGGAATAATAGCTCAAACCACTCTTAATGGGCCAACCCTCTTTCGCGCAACCTAGGGCGTCCATTGTATTCTTCCCGTCTGGAAGGGGACATTCAAATGCATCAACAATGGGATAATATAGTGGAAATAGTTACCCGAATATACTAACCATTACATTGGAGGATGATCGATGTCGTTGACTGACCTAACGTCCCTTGACGTGGAAGCTAGAGCTCGAGCCATACGATCCCAGGGCTAGATAGAAAGGAAAATTACTCTCCTACTTATCCAATCGTCAACCCGGCTCTACCAGCAAGAGTAATATTCTCCCCTATACAGTCGCAGCTACCGGACCAAAGACGACCCTGGAGAAATCTGGCGTCCTCCCGAGAAGCCAACCCATGCCTTCCAGCTGGTCCATGCGCGCCTTCGCACTCGCCTTCAACGTGGGGAAGAAGCTCCAATGCCCATGGGGAAGGCCGGGATAGACATCCATCCTCGTCTTTACACCGCACTCTTCTCTCAACACGCGCTCGTATATAATTGCCTCGTCCCGGAGCGGATCCAGTCCGTCGACCTGGAAGAACGCGGGAGGGAGGTCACCGTGGCCGCGTGGATGGTTGAAGATGGCGAAGTTGATGGTGTCATCCACGTTGGGCTGGTAGGCGTCCAGGAACATATTAAGAGCTGCTGTTGGAAGTACTGGTGCGTTGCGGTTCTGGTCGCGGGCCAGCCAGAGTGGCCTGTGCCATTCTGGCATCTTGCCTTCAGGACATAATAATGGGATAGCTAGGTATTGTCCGGTCAGTGGAGATAGCAGTCCTTCGTCTCTCGCCCGATGGGTAAGCACAGCGGCTAAGTTCGCCCCGGCACTGCTTCCGCCGACAATAAAGCCGGTAGAGGTGTCGGCATTCCAGGATTGCGCACTTGCTGCACACCACTTCAGAGCATCCCAGCAGTCGTTGGCGGCATAGGGAAATGGATATGTCGGCGCCAAGCGATAGGCAATGGCGACGCAGGTTGCGCCCAGGGCCAGCACAAAATTGCGACAGGTCTGCTCTTCTCCCTCCGGGGAGCCGAAGCAGAACCCTCCCCCGTGGATCATGACGATGAGGGGACTAGCATTCTCCGGCATGTCTTCTGGCTGGAACAGCTTTGCTCGATTGGTGTGGCCATCACGTGTAGAATATTGCAGCTCGGTCACTTTGACACCCGGCGGCGTGGGTCCGAGGGCGCGTTTTGCGCGCTCGCTGTTCTTCGCATACACGTTGGCAAAGTCGTCAAGAGTTGAATAGTCGAGGGTCGGCAAAGGGTTTGCGGCCAGCAACTGAGAGAGTTCAAGAGGGTTAGCACTTGCGTTACGATCTCTTCAGGGAGACACACCTCGCTGAGCTCCGGGTCAATCTGGCCCAGCTTAAGCAGATTCTCCATCACCAAATATTCCGCCATGCCGCCTGTGGAGGATGTCGAAACTTCACATGGTTGTCTCTCCAATGTCATGCTCTGGCGCAGTCGTAATGTATTGTTGAGAAGAGGCGCAAGGAGCCGGAAGGAGCAAGATCGAACGAATGCAGCTAAGCATCTGCATTGATAATCATATCAAGTACCTAGCCAGAAACCCACAAATATCATGGCGAGGAAACCTTCACAGAGTGATTAGAAATTGTCCTCCGGAGAACACATCACTTCCTAGACAGTTTTGGTCCCGGGAAAGGTGCCTACAGGCTGCTGCGGTGCCCATGGTGCACCGTGTGGAACAGATTCATTGCTGTATCGCAGTACACCGGTATGCAAGGAAGACGCCGTCTTTGCTCAAGCGGAAGCTCTCAGGGGTTGTCATTTGTATAGCTCGCCATCTGAACCACCAAGAGACGAACGATCTCAGCTCCGCGCTGGTAGATCAGATGAGAAATTCTAGACTTCTTGCCGCTAGAAAGGCCAGCTTCGAGTCTGGGCTTAGGCGATGGAAGTCATCCATCTTTGTCGAAGGCATTGCTGCGCAGTATGGGGGTATTCGAGTCGGCGAACCCCCAGTGCTGTGTCATGGCCAGACCAGACATGCAGAAGCCGACTGAATCTGAAGCTTCGGCATCCACTTCCTCGACATGGCATCTTATAACTTGCAGTTCAACGGCTCAACGACGGTAGTCGTATCAATCCGTCCAGTTCGCTTGTAGATTTCGCGCCGAAATGGCGACGTCTGAGTGCTCGCCTTCTTGGCACCCTCCGTGCGTCTGCCAGACAAGCCAGACCAACAGCCCAGTCCGGTCTACCCTGCGTCCTCATCCGCACAGCTCCAGAAGACGGCGAGAATGAGAGAGCTCGACAGCCGTCCTACTCAGCACGCACATCCCCCAATATCGTTTCGGGACAGCAGAGGCCCTTGCTCACGGGGTTTGAAGTCATCTAAACTCCAAGGCTCTTTGATACCAATGGATTAATAGGCCAATGACCGGAGCATTGTTTGCAGTGAGACGCGAACATCACGCCCCCAAGCGCCTTCCTAGCTGTAGTCTCACCAAACATGTCACCTTCGTCCAAGTACAGTTCCAAACTCCAAGGCAAGCGCATTTTGGTCCTGGGAGGTACCTCTGGGATTGGATTCTGCGTCGCCGAAGCAGCTAGGGAGTCTGGAGCCGCTGTCATCGTGTCAGGGTCCAACCCATCCAAGCTCGAGAACGCCCTTCACCGGCTCCAGGCCAGCTGCCCAGGCTCACCGGGAGCCAGTCTTCAAGGCTACGCGAAGGACTTGTCGGATTTGAGCACGCTGGAAACCCGGCTGGCGGAGCTGTTCGAGCAGGCCACCGAGGGCGGGAAACACAAGCTCGACCACGTCGTCTACACGGCGGGCAACGTCGTCGGACTCGTCGAGCTGGACGACCTCGACACCGACATGATCACCGCGAACGGAGTCATGCGGTTCTACGTCCCCATCATGGTGGGCAAGATGGCGCCAAAGTACATGGTCCACAGTCACGAGTCCTCCATCTCGTTCACCAGCGGGTACAGCAACGTCAAGCCGCGGGCGGGTCGTGTGTTGATGGCCGGCTGGGCCGCTGGGGTGGAAGGCGTGGCACGCGCCCTCGCGGTAGACTTGCGGCCCATCAGGGTCAACTGCGTTTGTCCTGGCGCTGTACACACAGAGCTGTTTGATCGGATGCCGAAGCATTTGCTGGATCCGCTAGTGGAGAAGTACGTCAGGGGAACTCTGACGGGGACGATCGGACAGCCGTCTCAGGCGGCGGAAGCGTATCTATATTACATGAGGGATGCTTTTGTCGATGGCACGGTGGTGCACTCCGACGGCGGATACTTGTTGGGATAGAATGCGGTTCCGTGTGCGGGAAATCGAATGTTACCAGAATGAGCAACTCGTAATTGTTACGCATTGTCTTTCTTCGAGTCTTGCTCAGCAACACACTGGCGTGCTGTGCTGTACGAGGGGACTCTGCTTGCACTGCACCTACAATGCGCTGTGCCCGTGCAGAATCAGCGCGGTGTCTATCCGCCATTTTCATCTCGTTGCATCGCCGTCGATGGTCTCCGGCCCAGGCTCGGGCTCGGGCTTCAGACCACTGGCTGCTGAGACACGAGACACGAGACACGAGCAAGAAGAAGTCCAAGCCTCAGGTCGAAAATCGTGGCGGTGCAAAGCCACCCGCAACCCTCCAGCGCGAACCCATCGACGCAACGGGTTCAAACATCCAGCCACAGCAAGTCGCCGCCCAATCGGACAACTCAAAGGGTGAACTTCATCGAGCGGCGTGGCGTGCTTTAGACTCGCGCAGTCCAATGCCAACAGAAGAAAACAGCCCAAGCGAGGGCGAGAGAGGGGGACATATTACCGCGTGGGTATGCAGGTGTGATGACCGCATCAAGATACCAAACCTGGCCCCGAACGGATCCGGCACAACGTTTTCATCTCTTCCCTCGTGGTGAGATGAGCGAATAGTAATAATAATAGCAGAGCACGAGGGGGGGGGAACTTACTCCCAGGCGAGCCAGGGTAGCGAGGGTAAATTGGTGGTGGGTTACTTGTGGCGCTGTGCTGTGTGTGGCACAGACAACCCACCGTGGACCGAGGACACGCAAACCCAAGCCCGCCAGAACCAATCAGACCGATACCTGAGAGGGGGGATTGCGTAGGACAAGTGTGGCTGAACACACCCCCTTCGTACACCAATACTTCCCCAGCTAAACCAGCAGGGTGCTCCGTTGATGATCGTTTTGGATAGAGCCCGAAAAGAAACTCACGGGAATCATTTATTATGCCGTCCGCATGCCTCCCCGTTCTTGAAAACGCGGTGGGCTCGTTGACATGCCTTTGTGTCTCTGAGAGTGAGCGAGTGAGTGAAAGAGAGTGAGAAAGATCGACCCGGGGTCAAGATATATCATCGACGATATTGGAATCATTTACTCAGTTCCATTCCATTGACGCTTAGATTGCGACACCACTACCCAACACCAACGCAACAATGCGCACACTCCGCCGGAGCCTGAAAAAGGGGTGTGTCATCCCCGAACAGCTGTACTGCGGCATCGTGCACACGGTCTGGCTGTTCTGGGAATACGGCCAGGCGGTCAGACGGGCGCCGCATTGAAAACACGCAGCGGGTAAGGCATGCAAGGAACAGATTAAGACAGACGGGATGAAAGGAAACGAGACAGGGGGCGCTTCGTCGAGAGGAACCAAGAGATCGTGAGTTGACGATTGGGATTGGAGGGCTCAGTACCGGTATTCGAGACCTGGAATATCTGGATCCATCGAGATCTCCACCGCATCTTCACTTCCTGCCAGTATGGAGAGTTGGCAATCCTCGGACAACACTCCCAGATGCATCAAAAGACCGCCCGGCTCAACCTCCGACCGACACTCATCTTCCTCTCCGGCTCGTCATCATCCGGAATGTCCTCAAACTCCCTCCTTCCCGAGTCGAGGTCCATATCACGGACCTTGACCATGAGCGACCAGTCGCGCGTCCACAGCTTCCAAAACGCAAACAGCGCAAGGGCGATTGGGAGCGCAATGTAGCCCTCAAAAAACACTTCGGGGTCCGGGTCGCTGTGAAGCGGGAAAAGGTCGACATAAAACGTCGCGGCCATGCACAATACCACGAGGAACACCCCGACCCAAGACCCGTACACTCCCAATTGCGACCGGAATGGCAGGTCGTCAAGCGAGCGGCCGGCAGCTTTCCATCCCGCACGGAACCGGATGTGGCTGTAGCAGATGGAACCCCATACAAAGAACGAAGACAGCCCCGTCAAGGCGAGCAGCCAGTTGAATACCGTCGCGCCAGTGGCCGCCTCGTTGATGAACGCCAAGAGCCCAAATGCCATTTGGATGACAACTGGCCACACGGGACGGCCTTTCTTATCGATCCACGCCAGAAACTTGGGGCCCATGCCGCCTTGCGCCAGTGCCTGCATGGTCCGGGTGGAGCCATAGGTACAAGAGTTTGCCACAGACATGACGGAAATGGTGATGACGGCATTAAACACCGAGGGCAGACCTTTGACACCGGCGTACTTGATGGCAAGCACAAAGGGTGAGGCTTTGGTGTTTGCGCCCGACGAGTTGAGGAGGTCGGGAGAGTTGTTGGGCACGATGATACCCATGATGAGTAGCGAGACAACGTAGAATCCCGCAATGCGCCAGAAGACCTGTTTAGTGGCTTTAGGCAGCGATTTCCTGGGGTTAGCAGCTTCAGCGGCGGCGAGACCGACAAGTTCGGTCCCTCCAAACGCAAAGGCAGCAGTGACGAAGACAGAGCAGAAACCTTTGAAACCTGTGCATGATCTTAGCACCCTAGTGGAGTGACAAACTCCTCAACAAACTTCTCTTACCGTTGCGGAAAGCCTTGTTGCCATGTTCGGCGTCGTCCCAATACCTAAAGCCAATATATCCACGATCGTCGCCGGGGATACCGCCACAGTCAACGATGATGCCGAAGATGATGAAGCCGAGAACGGCAACAATCTTGATCACACCAAGAACAAACTCGACTGGCCTTTGTCAGCCATGTTTATCACCCTGTAAGACACTACTCACCTTCTCCATAACCCTTGACACCGAAGAACTGCACGATAATCAAGGTCGTGAGAAACACTGCAATCCAAATCCCAATGTTATAGTGGTGCCAGTAGTCGATTGTTATGCCCGCAGCAGTGATTTCGAACGGAAGCGTGACCAGCCAGCCAATAGCCTATCCATAGGTTAGCCAGAAAAGGTCCAAAAGTCTAGGATGTGCACTAGATGCTCACATATTGCCATCCCATGGCAAAACCCTATTCAAGAAAGGTCAGTGAAATATCTTCCACAGGGATGAAAAGGTCACGAACCCAGGCAGGGTCGATAAATCGCACCCCATACACGTAAAAGGCTCCATTAACAGGGTACAAAACCGCCAATTCACCGAGAGCTTGCACAGTACAAAGCAACATGACACCAATGATGATGAATCCAAGGACCAGTGAGGCTGGACCGCCAGATTGCAATGCAGAGCCAGAACCCACGAAGAGACCGGCGCCGATGGACCCTCCTACAGGATAACTATCAGCACAAACCTCAGAACCAAAGAACAAAAACACCAACCGATGGCGATCATCTGCATATGTCGACCTTGCAAGCCACGGCTGAGCTTCGCCTGGCGATGGTCGCCCTCTTCGATGTCGTGGGTGCTACCCTTCGTCTCGTGAAGGACGCCTTTGTCAACATCATGGGTGGCATTGATGGGGGCCGCCTTCGAACCGTCCGGGAGCTTTTCTGAGTCGCCGTTGCTTGCCATAACGAGCGATTTGATGGTGATTGAGAGTTCCTGTCAAAAGGTGGTAGAGGATGGAAGAGACCCCCAGCTTTATCAGTCTGAGGCATGGGGCCTGCAGAGTTAAGAAGGTCAAGCCGACCCAAGCAAGCTTGTTGATTCATTGGATGCTTATCTTTGTGTCGTTCGCCTTTACGAGGTCGTCGTCCACTTGCCTTCTGCCATGCCATGCGATTGCAGGGTTGCGTGATGTTAGACGGTGAACAGCCAAGGCTGCACACTGCAGGTAGCAAGGTGGGGATCCTTCCTCAGTTGAGCTTGCAAGCCAGTGAAACCTCGCACTCTGCCCGCGGTGGCGTACCGACCACCACAAAGCCTGCTCGGGATCGCCTATTCAGACGGGGTCGCTCTGCCATTCGAGATAAGGGAATGGCGTTGGCAGCGGTCTGAGCCAATCAGCGCCGAGCTCAACACCAGACCGTCAATCTTGCGTCCATCGTCTGGAGAGACGGCCTGGGGTAACACACGTACATTGGTTGTCCCGGGAAATATGACATCGTCCTGCTCGTCTCAGAGCTGTAGCGATCGAAAGATGCCAGCAAAGTCACCGCGGTTCTATCGCCAAAACCGTACGGATCCTCTATCTTCTACTGCCGATCGCCGAAAGAAGATTCTTGGAAGAATCGACCAAGCGAAAGCCCAGACGTATGCCAAGCGACTCCTCTGATAAGGACTTGACGCCGGCCACCATCGTGCTTGTTCTCGTGCTTGTAGCTGGGCTTGATCTCGATGCTTGTGCCGCCATCATGTCACTCCAAGCTGCTTGTTGTCGTTTTTGCAAATGACGATGGTGGCTTGAGTCGGACGGAGTCTGGATGGGGCTGACCAAGAGACCACGGTGATGACGGGGCTTGGCCGCTTATTAACCATGCACGCCTCGAGGTTGGCGAGCAGGAATGGGATCCAGCTATCAGCAAGACAATAGGCAACCTGAAATGTTCACGACGGATGATATAACAATGTGCAGTAGCGTGGTCTGGACAGAGAAGTCAGTCTAGTTCAGAAGATCTCAAGAGAGCGCTTGCGACTTCTTAAGAAGGGGAGAGGGTCACCGAAGCCTTCCACGTGACCTGTCCGGCTAACATTCCTTTCAAACATAATCGGAAGCTGGGGAATACCCACCTCGCTACTAGCAACTGCCGTGCATCTCTTTATCAAAGAGGAGACGAGCGAGAGGGAGGTTACAGTCAGCTGTCTAGTCTTTCTCGTCTACAGTCACCCGCCAAGCTGCCCTGGAGAGAATGGTGGTTGGCAAATAGCAGAAGCCTTTGAAAATCTCCATAAAATGATTCTTTCGGCATTGCCAACGCCTTTCTCAAAAGCTAGTTGGTCCAGTTCTGCTGGAAAAAGCCGCTATTCTCGGCCATGCTCAGCAGCACAATCTTCTTCAGACAGGAAGATGCCTAAACAACAAATGTACAGGACTTGTAATGACTGCGTCCTCGGGTCTAAGGCGCATGTAGACCGAGGCCAAGGCGAGCCATAACACCTCGCCCCGCAAAATCAGAAAGGCATGACTTGTGGTCAAGGCTCGCAGGATTCGACAGGATCACCGAGAATGCCGGGGGCCTGACACTCTGGTTTGAAGGAATGCTTTGATGAGATGATTCAAGCTAAACCCCAATTTCACGAAGATAAAGTCGTGCTGGGAAGACGTCAATGTCCTATTTGGTGGTGTCAGATCTGTGCTTCGTAGAGCCATGAGCGGGAGAAGCGTAGAAGACAAGATAATAGGTCTTTTCAAGTGATCGAGCTGTCGATCATTTCTATTTGGCGCCACAACCATCTGGGTAGCAGTCAGTTGCAGACGGGATGGGCTCCTGTTCAGTCAAAAGTGCCAAAACGAAATCCCTCCCATAAAGCTCTCTCCCGTACGGATCATCCGTTTCAAATGCTCGATATGAGGGAACAAGACACACTTTCCTAGGTGTCATACCCGTTCAGACTCAATGCCCAACACAAATCATCCTCCAACGCCATCGCTTTGATCAAAATAGCCATCCAAAAAGGCATTCAAGAAAAGAGAAACCCCGAATCAACGCTCGTACTGGGGTAGATCGGGGCCTTCATGGTCGTTATGCAGTATTTGTACACTGTACTCGTCGTCCATCAGAGGCGCCGTTGGTGCTAGAGAGGCAACGGCCGCGCCGCCTGGCACTTGCGCTTCGTGCTCTGATGGTGGCTCACTCGTCTGTGCTAGAAGTCGCCGCCGTTCCAATTCCTGCTTGTCATCGGTGTGGGCCCCGTTGCTGGTTGAAGCAGGGGGTGGAGGTGGGGATGTTGAGTACGGTCGGATCGTATCCCCAGATCTTGCCGATGCGACTGAACTAGCAGCGTGCGGCGTTGAAGGTGTCACGCTTCCATCGTTCTGGGCCTCAATCACATGTGGTAAAGGTTCGGATGACAAATTCGGGGCGGTCGGGGTATACGGCACAGGGTTATTGGAGCTTTCTCCTTCCTGCGGAGGTTCGCTCGGAAACAAGAGTTGTTCTTGTCTCCGTAGCCGTGTTTTCTCATCGACTGTTTCTTCCGGTGCGGGAGGAGGTATCAGCTCGGGTGCCGGAGTGGGATAAACTGGTCGGGAGTTCTGATCATAACCAGAGTCGTATCCGTAACCATCGTAATAAGGATATCCTGCTTCATCATAATACTGTCCATCGTAAGCCTCATTATAATATTGCCAGTCGTCCCAGCCTTGATCCGGTTCTTGAGTCGTATCTCCAGCATACTGAGGCTCTGCTGGCTTGATCTGTCTCCTTTTCCTACTACTGTCCTGGGTTCCAACCACAAGCGACATTTCGAATGCGACGACACTTTTGGTCCGCCGTAGGGGGGCTGTGTCTAAGATATGGAGGGACCACTCCGAAGTGATTTGATTGCTGGCATCAGAACTCTGAGAAAAGGTTGGTTCGCTAGAAGTGAGTCTTGGCCACAAGCGAGTCTCGCCGAGTTTTCCGAATAGATCGACCACCACTTCGATGTGGTAAGTGAATGATATCATATCGCCTGGTACATTGGCGATCGTGGGAAATGCGTTATCGGGGACTTTGATAGATGTCGTAATGTCAGCAGTCATCGTTGCCGGGTTGACGATCATCATGGTGGACGACTGAGCGAGGTCCTTTCGGAAAACACTGTTGGGTGAAGCAGCTGAAAAGTACAAGCCTCCTAGACCTGTGCGGGACTTCGGGTACACGTCTTCATACTCCATCTTTCTTTCCTTGCCTGACCTGTTCGGGAGTGGAAGCGGAGGATGCATGTCAATTCTGCATTGGCGGTATAATGTCGCAATCACCATCCCTCGCACATCTGCCTTGGTGTGTGTTATAGACACTCGGATCGGAATCGTGTCTCCTGGCAGCGCTCCGTGCCGGGGGAGCTCAGCGGTGGCGGTAATAGTATTGGTAGAAGAAGAAGTCGTATTACTTCGCGCATCACTGTTCTGCGGGCTTGGATTTTGCGGCGGTAATACGTCGTCCACGATCTGAAAACTTGGGCTACTGGCCGGCGTAGCATTTGTCTGCATTGTTTCATCGCTTGGTGCGGGACTCAGCGGAGGGTTGCATATGGAATGAGTGCTCCGGCTGGTCGTGCTGTTCTGCGTATTATTTCGGCTTAGGCGACCAGCACCAGGGCTTGAGGTCGTCTGGGTGGTCAAGGATGATGGGGGTTTGACAACTTTGACTTTGCCGCGCTTGGAGACAGGCTCCAAGGTGATTACCCGTGATTTTGGTGTGTACATACCCTCGATATCGACCAGGTCTTGGAACTTGATTTTGGTGCTTCGACTGGTTACGGGGCTTATTGTTGTTGGGCGGGTGAGAGTGGCGGTAACCAAATAGGATATCGTTCCCCGTTCGAACTGTTACGATATTAGTGTCACGGCAGGGGAAGTGTGAAGCGACCAACATACATCAATGGTGCTGGGGAGGCCTTTCGAAGGGAAAGGGATCTCAAACGCAAACTTGTAAACCTGTTTCTTGAGGAAGCCACTGCCACAAAGAACCTGCTCATGCTGGAATAATGACGCCAGACCATTGCCATGATATTGCACCCCTCTTGAACCTTTGCCATTTATCAGACCCTCGGGCGCTGGCAGGCCTTCGCCGGGGGGTATTTGGTGTTTATAAACCTTCGCGTATCCATGCAGAGCCACGACCAGATGAGTGATATCAAATCCCTTGAAGACAGTCAGGACCACATTGCCCTTGACTATCTGGCCTGGAGAATAGACCCTGAAGGGGTCTTCGGGCTCAATGGCGATATCAAACATGTTTCGAGCATGCTTGCCCAAAGGATTAGACAAGTAGGAGAGTATGGAGCGGGGCCGAGGCACTGGCGGATTGGGGCTCGTGAGCAGGGACTCGAGAGGCATCGCCGGGAGGACCAGAGCCATTCACTGCTATAACGGCGACAACGACGAGAGCATTGTTGGCTGGACTTTCGGCGCAAGGTGGGTATGTTCTTGAGGTTGAAGGCTAGGTTTTCGAGAACGTCTCCAACCGGTAGTGTGGCTCAGGATGCGCATTTACTAATGAGGGTTGCGGCCGGGGGCGCGACAGTCAGCTTCGTCATCAATTAGGCCCAGTGTCTGCGCAGCGACTCGGGGACCGCAGGAGCGATTGATACGAATCGGTGGAATCAGGTGTCTTCCGACTCAGCGACGCATGGCGAAGTGCTGAGCAGGTATGTCTTTGGGGACCGTCGTGGGATCGTCGTTCGAGTCCTCGACGAGGTCGCGTTCGGCCTGAATGCAGGTGGGGAGAAATCTCGGGGATTGCGAAGGGCTCGGGCACAGGGCTTGCTGCGTTCGTCGTGGGATCTGCAAGGCAAGGAGGACGTGTCGTGAAGTGCGCAATATGTCTCCCAAACACGCGCAGTTTGTAGATATGGGGTGTCCAGGATGTAGGTAAATGGCTAAGCTTCGGTCAACGGTGGTAGTGTACCACGTTGATGGGAGATGGAGCAAGTTGGGTTGATGCTTGTCTGCGAATTCAAGCTTCGGTGCTTGGCAGGTCGAGAATTCTGTGGTCTGATCGGGAGGGAATTGCGTCGCGCAGGAGGGAGTGGGAAGCCGCTGGACAAGGGAACAGAGAGCGTCGGGGGGTACAGGAAGGGGTTTAGGGTGGTGCTGCGGTCGTTCGGTTGATAGGTCGCAGCGCGGGGCCACCGGGGGACGCGAAGTTCCAGTTGGCAGCCGGGCTTGCTGGACTTATCTAATTCGACCTAGAGAGGGTGGTAGGGGTAGGAGAGGAGGAGGAGCCTCATTGGCATGCAGTTCGTATCGTGGGCTGAGTTTTCCTTTGTGGGTTGCTCCAACGAGGACGCGCATGTCAGACTGCAGATTGCTATTTAGTGATAGTTAGCAGTTCCATCAAATCAATCCACAGGCAGATTCCAGGCCAACTTCATTCGTTCCCAAACTGGCGTCGTCATCAGACACTCGCAGCGCACTTGTGTTGGCCCACTTCAACTCGACTCACTTCCGCCCTCTTTGTTCCGGACGAGTCGCAGAGTCAACGGCCGGGAAGTGGCTGTGCTGGGCAAGACGAGATGGCTGCGTGTAGTGGTGACACCTTGTATGTTTGGAGTACTCGTACTCGCAAGTATGGCGTGGGAAGTGAGAAGGTAGTGGAGGTCAGTTGGGATTCATGATGGTTGAGAAGACTGCAGTGGTGGTGGCTGTAGAGACCCTCTTCGGGGACTTTGGGTGGGCGGCGCTCAGGCTGTCAAGCTTTTTCCCTTCATTTCGTGGGGCCGGCCGCGAGCAGCAGGGGCAGGGGAACAGGAAGAAAAAGGGACCGGCAAGGTTAAGGGAGGGAGGGACGAAGGAGAGCAGCTACTCGGAGGGGCTTTACGGGTGGAGTGTTGGGTGTTCCACAGGCAGCTAGAAAAGCACTGGTCCGGCACTGGCTGCCCACTGGCCGCCCACTGGCCACCCAAGGGCCACCAACTAGTTATCGACTGGCTAGGGGCCAGAAGGGCCTAGTGAGCCTAATAGTTAGGTGGCTACGCGCCTTTTGGAAGAGCATCCTTCTCCGGAAACCCAGTTTGTCCCACCCACAACATGAGCAACCATACAGCTCCGAAAATGATCCCAAGGACACCGTCGGGTAACGCAACAATCAAAGATGGCGTCACAGATAGCCTACGTAGCTACCTGACAAAGGCAACCTGTCCAGTGAGCCCACTAGCCCATCAAACCCTGCAGCAGCTTAGACCTGGGGTATCATCCACCTGGCACCTGGAACCCCCCCCCCCCCCAACATATGCCGAGCATGTGGTTCAGGACTGAAAAACTGCCTACGAGGGAGATTTCCTGCCTGTTACACCTTCCACACACCGACTGACGGCCTCGGACCACAGCCCAGCGTCCTTACTCTTTACGTCCAGATACGTCGTGCAAGGATGCAAGCATGGCTCAATCAGGCCCAACGTTTGAGCCTAGCTGCAACTGTGACAAGCTAGACGCAGAAAAGCTTCCTCCCCTTAAGCATTGTCGTTGATCCAGGCCATTCCACAAGCGCCATCTAACCCGTTTCTGCCTTCGGAACCGGTCTTTGAAAAGTTGATCCTGGGTAGATTGGTTCGTTGTCGGGCGGACACATGACCAATCTCAAACCATGAAGCTCATGTCTTGCGATGGTTCCTTTTCAACGGCGCGGCTTTTTGGCTGGTGATTCGTCCTCTCCCAGACTGTCCTCGGAAGAGTCCATTCTGGGGGCTTTTGCTGGCTTTACTCGACCCTTGACTTGATATTTGGTCAATTTTGTTTCGTCGAGCCCATTCTCTAGTCCCTCGGGCTCCACGAAAACCATATCCCCATCCTGTCCTAGGGCATGCTTGACTGCTTCCTCGAGCAGAATTCCGAACGCTATCAGAGCTGTCTCATCAAGGGTCCGGAAATCGAATGTGCCTTGTCCTTGCGCAGTGCAACTGTAAAAATCGGAGGCGTATGCATGCACTGCCTTCAGCATTTCGGACTCAGGCAGCCTTTTGGGACCAGAAAGCTCTCCTGCCGCGTCATACGACTCGTGTATCACTTGCTCTGGGATGGCAGGTCTGCGCAGAAGGACTTCCTCTGGTGCAATGGGCAAAACGTTTTCAGACCGCCTCTGCTCTTGGGTCAAGAATCCATTCAAGCCTGCTCTTCCTGCCACTGCATCATACACCGTGAGCTGCCGTGGCGGGTTGGATGGTGGAAAGGCTTCACCTGCAGCGTCGTGTATGGTAGCCTCGTCTGGCATGGCACTTTTTCTGATGTCTGCCATGACTTGCTGCGTCACCGCTTGCAACAATAGCAATATTGGCTTGAGCGGAAGCTGCTGTTGTTCATCGCCGGATTTTCCAATTGGGATGATCGAAATTCGTGAAATGTTCAGGCACCGCGAAAAGTTTCTCGAGCTTGACGCTGGGGTAGCCGGAAGGATCGAGTGTTGGACAGGTTACGTACCGAATACAGGTCGAAAGCCTGGATGTGAGATGCGGCTCACCAACTTGCCTTCTTGGGTAATTTTGGAGAGGCTCAGTTCTTCGCCGCTTTACTTGCCCTCGGCTCACTTTCTTCTCCAAGATCGGCAGGATAAGGTATTCCGGCGATGCCAAGGCTAAGGGCCTCAGCCTTGTCCTCTCGTGCCTTCCGTGAAGCCCCTGACTTCGAAACTTCGAAACTTCTGCTTCTCCAGATGAAGCTACGCTAAACAATCCTTTCTAAATGGTGGTCGTCATAGAAAGCCATCGTATACAGTTCACTGAGAGGAATCAAAAGAAAGCTGCGGGACGCTGTGATAGAAAGTGCCCAAAGCACGTCCAACCGGGACGCAGGCATTTGTCCATCGAACACAGAATCTTCCCAAGTCCGATTGGCCATCGTCTTGCTCTTGCGTAATATCACGCCGTTGAAGAAACAGGGGCAACTGCCAGATGAACAGGCCCGAAACAAGGTGTTCAACAACAAATAGTCCATTGTTAGACCGAAGATCATACCGCACGAAGATGCCTGAAAGACATAATTTCCAGCTGGGTTTCCCTGGGAATCTCTCTTCAAGAACACCCATCTTCAAGCTAACCTCCCTAGGCCTTCCGACACGATCACTGGGGTTGGACATTTCTTCCCAATTTCCAGGGCGTGGAAATAAGTAAGGAGTCTCGAAAATGCCAGCAGGAAAGCTCGTCGCCATTGTGACCAGGGTCAGTGTCAGCGTCTCAGGACGCGCAACACAGCAACCACTCTTTGTTATTTGTACAGAATCAAGACTGTGCTGTAATAAGTGGAAGTAATGGGAATTTGTGTATGCGCGGGAACACTTTCGTCGCGGAAGTGTTTCTTCATGTTATCTACAAGTGGATGTTATGGAACCAGGATTGCAATCAGCTTCGTCAACTACTTGTCATCAACTAGCTAAGCTTTGGCTGCAATTGTCATGGCTTCGATATGCTCCAGCGCCGATCTCAAGGACGGACTGGGAAGTCCAGGGTCGGCCACCGCCAGTGCCTCCTCTTTCGTTGCCCTGGGAGGGTAGATCAAGGTTCGGTTGATGTATTGTTTCAAGGGTTTCGCCTGCTCGCCGGAGATTTGGACGTTTCTCTCCCAGCCCGCGGAGACCATCGAGCCCCATGGCCCCAGGTCAAGACACGTTCCATAGGTGGCCTGGGAGTACGGCATCGCCGCGACCCCGAGCAAGTCGGCCGCCGCGTTATGGCCGGCAGAGCGACCCAGTTGGATTGCATGCTGACAGGACATCATGGCATGGTGGCCGTCGTCGTCGCAGGCCGCCAGCGCAGTGTCGCCTGTAGCAAACACTTCTTTGCAGGTAGGGACTCGCAGATATTGATCCACCCGCAGGCGGCCGAACGCATCCTTGTCACCCTCAATCTGTCGGGTCAGTGCCGATGCTTGCATACCCGCGGTCCAAATCACCGTCAGGGCCTCGATCCGACTGCCATCTGTGGCAGTGATTCCCCCGGCGTCAATCGATGCGACGCCTTGCCCAAGCTTGGTTTCGACCCCGAGGTTAGTAAGTGCTTTGGTGATGAAGGGCCGAGGGTTGGGCCCGAGTTCCGGTCCGATTTCAGCAGCCTTTTCGACTACCACGACGCGTACGTTGCTGTCCAACCCTAAAATGGCGCGCAGGCGGGCAGGGAGTTCGGTTGCAAGTTCAATGCCGGTAAAGCCACCTCCAGCGACCACCACAGTGTTCCGTGCGGGACTGGGAGGCAAGGAACCCAGACCTCGTAGATGGTTCTCCAAGCGGTCCGCATCCTCGATTTGGTCAATGTTGAACGCGTGCTCGCGCAAGCCAGGGATATTTGGTTGTCTCAGAACGCTGCCAGACGCCAGAATGAGTCGGTCATAGGGGATGGTCGACAGGGCGCCCTTCGAGTCGGCCACCTCGATTTCATGGCGAGGGGCTCGAATCGTCTCGACTTTGCCTTGGATGTACTCGATACCAGCCACGTTGAAAAGGTCGCTGAGCGGTGCACTCATACTGCCTGGGTTCGCTTCGTAGAGTCGAGGACGGAGGACAAGCCGTGGTTCAGGGGCCACGACTGTCACCGTGATGCCTGCGTTAACTCCACCGTTGAGTTCTATCAGGCGTCTTGCGGCAAGGGCACTCCACATGCCGGCGAAGCCTGAGCCGATGATGACAATTTTTTGCTCCATATTGAACTAGTGGTCCAGCGAAGTATGGTGTGGGATTGTGGACGAAGTCGTCTTGCTGGCTCCGGCGAGAGTGTACCCTTTATGAAGACTTGGTGGGAAGCTGGAAACCATGAGTGATTATCGTCCCGACCGGAAGGGTATCTCAGGATCTGGACCATTGGTTCTCGTAGCACGACTTGCAGTCTGCTTCTTGGCCTGGTCTAAGGGAGTGGCAAGCCATGGCGGCGAGGGTAACACACGTTCTCGGAGTTTGGTCAGATAGCCTATTCGCGTCAATTCAGGACGGCTGATCGGATATCTGCAACAAGTCAGTGGTACCCCGTGCGGCAAACCGTACTAACTGAATAGTCTATCCATATGATTCCCCAGAATCCCGATGGTATTAGATAGTGATGAAAAGTGAGACACAAACGAGAACATCGATGATGTATCACGTCCCGTGAGCCACCAGCGAAGGCTGTGTCGAGTTCTCGTAGAAGAAAGTAGCCTAAATGATATCCTGCGCCCATTCCCGAGGTGGAGGTAGAGGCTCGCGCCTTAAAAAACTAGAAACAGCGGTAACACGTCTACGGGTACTATCTTTGGGGTGGTACATCGCCTCGAGGAATAGGACTCAAGTACTGAATGATGAATCGGTGCCTCAACGAAAGGTACTTCTCTGGCGTTTGCACGCTCTACCTGGGAGCTCTAGTCAATTTGCCCGACCATTCTATCATAAACAAATCCTATGCACCTGCATTATTGTTTCTAAACCTGTCTATCTCTGAGGACCGGGCAATGTCTGGTAGAGCTACGCAAATTTTCTTCTGGGTCACTCGTTATCTCTGCCACTGAAAATGGCCCCAAGTCTGGAGAGGGAAATGGAAAGAAAACCCACAGATTACCAGTTTAATCTTGCCTACCCCGGTGTAATACATTTAGCGAGCAGGCTTCAATATCTATCTTCTACAATCATCCTCCAAACCTTGCGGAAGCTCGGATATCAGCTTAGAACCCGGTCCAGAACACAACTAGACAGACATTTACCAGTATGGCGGAAAGAAACCAGTCGATGGTATATTCCGGGACCATGCCATCACATTCAAGAATGTAGAACCGTTTTGCAGTAGAAAAATGTCCTCATTGGTTGTCCCCAGCCTACCGAGTAACCTGCTCGAGATCTACAGGCCGGCACGCTTTCTCTCTTCGACCTCAGCATCGATCACGACAATACTGGCCAATCCTTCCTTGTCAATTTGCTCTTTACTGACCACAAACACGGCAAGAAACTCCGCCTCCTCGTCACCAGCATTCTCGGAGCGCACGTGGTGGCAGCCAGGTGGCTCATACCAACTCTCCCCAACCGAGTAGATCTTCGGCCCCGTCCCCTGTGAGTTCGGATCGTGGTCGGGACAGACCATTTGATTCAGCATTTTGCCTTTGATCATTGTGGCAACCACGGCCGCGCCGCCGTGGGTGTGAGGCGGGGTGGCTGCATTGACGGGCGCCGTGACCTTCAAGCCGAGATAGTAGTGGTCGGGGATGTTGGAAGGGTTCTGCTGGAAAGCTGGGCTCACAGCGGGAATCGGTCGTCTGTAATGGAGTCTGAGTGAGCAGGTTTCCCCCCTGAAACAACCAGGTTGATATCAACTACCCTCGAACAACCCACTGGCCATTCTCCTTGACCACCTCCTGGTCTTGCCAACGCATCTCTAGGTTGGGAGACATTGTATATTCGTTTTTGTGCACAACTGCGGCGACTGGTTACAATAGAGTATGTGATGGCTACAGGGGGTTGCCTGCAATCAAACAGGCTCTTTATAGTCCTTGAAATACGCTTTCATAAGATATTGACAAGACGTGGCGTCGCCTCCGGGAAACCAACATCGGGATGCAACCGTTATTCAGCGACAGCCTTACCCGCTACCCGGCACTATGCGTATACGAAGCCAACAAGTGGGCTCCAATCATCACGAGTTGAGCCCGCCGGACTCGTATTGTCGCGGGTTTCTTTTGGCGTTTCCATCCGCAGCATTTGCAGAGCTTGGGGGTAATTCCTTGACTGGGGCGTAGCCTCATTTGGAGAAACTTCTTGAACAGGCATGGCCGGTGGATCAAGCTCGACGCTCTACAAGGGGGCCATGTGTGTGCACTTGAACAAATTCCAGACCTGACCTCAGCATTGGCCAGATTGACACTGGACTTGTCTGCCAAATTGGTTCCTCTAGTGTCCATTACTCCAACAGCTTCGACATCCATGGATGAGACGTCATTACGCAGCAGAGGGGATTTCCCAACCGTGTCACCGACCCAGAGGACGTAGCCGGGGTCAAGCTCAGTCGTATTGTCTTGTGAAAGAGCGTTACCCGGTATACGAACCGTGGCTGGCCCGGGGAATCAGCAATTTTTGACCCATAAAATGGCAGAATACAATTCATCAAAGGATACAGCGAGACGGAAAAGTCATGTCTGTGTGATCTCCCAACACTTTTTACCAAGCTGCGCTCTTCACATTGTCATTGAGAAAAACCATAAAGTCATCACTGCAACCCTACATAGGGACCAACCTCGGTCAAATTGGTGCCACGATATGGATGCCGTTCGTCTACATCTCAAAACTCCTCACTCGGACAATCCGTACTCAGTGTTTAATCCGGCTCCCTCGTCGACTCTCGTTCTTGAACACGATGTCCCCATTCCACAGCCAACTGAGCCGGGACAGATGTTAATACGTGTGAATGCGACAACAGTCATCCGAGATGCCCTGACTTGGCCGGAAACGTACGCGGAAGAGTTTAGAATTCTGGGCCACGACTTCTCGGGGACTGTGGTGTCTACTTATAAGGAGCAAAATGCCCCTTTCAAGCCTGGTGACGAAGTCTATGGGATGACCTCGGCGACACGTGCTGGGACATGGGCTGAATATGCCATCGTTTCCGCTGAAGAAGCGTGTCTGAAGCCCAGCCAGTTGACTTGGGCTGAAGCTGCAGCGGTGCCACTCAGCGCCCTGACAGCATACCAAGCACTATTTGAGAAGGCCGGCATCGTTCCTCCAGATTTCCACACGTCACAGGGCCATTCTGGATCTCATGAAGTGGGCGAAAACCCTGGCCGTTGTCGTGTGTTGGTGACAGGGGCTGCAGGCTGTGTCGGCCTCTATGCTGTGCAGCTGGCACGTCTCGCAGGCTTACACGTCGTCGCAGCGACAAGCTCAAACAGCCGCAACCAGTCGCTCTTACATAGGCTGGGCGCAGATGAGGTCGTCGAGTATGGAGATCTGTCGAAAAGTCCCGAATTATTTCAGATTGTGATAGACACCACCGGTGGCGAAGTCTTGACGATGTGTTGGAAATTGGTCAGCACAGACGGCACCCTCGTGTCCGTCGACAGTGCCAGTTATGACTTTGTGGAGAAGCACCGCAAGTCGGGCATTGCGGATGGGAAAGGGGCTGTGAAGGCCATGTTCTTCATTGTCAGCCCGTCCACGCAGGCTTTGGGCCGATTGGCGGTGGCTCTGGATCGGCGGCTGCTTGAACCCTTCGTGGCCCGTGTGATGCCTTTGGCGGATGCAAGGATGGCATATGATCTTTGCGAAACCGTACGCACGGAGCGGGGGAAAATAGTCCTCATTCCGCGACACGGGGAGGAAGCAGTATAACGTGCATCGAGTCAGGGTTCACACGGGACGGGCATTTCCACGGAGAGCGCTCTTGTAAGCCAGAGGTTGTCAGCAGTCTAACAGGTTATTTAGGCAGCCATATCTCCCCCATCTGCTAGCCGGGATGATAATCTTCGCCTATCAAGGTCTGAGATATATTTGACAGTAGTCTGCTCTTTTGGTGCCGTTGATTTCATCGAATTGGCTCGGGTATCTTCTTGAGCATGTCGTTCGGGTACACTTTTCTGGAGGGTTACCCGGGTTGACTTTGTAGGTCGTTACCGCTCATCGGGCACCAAGCTATCCATGCCTAATGATAGCATCAGCAGCCAATAATATCTCGGTCTCATCAGAAGAGCCGTCCATCATTTGTTTTGGAGAGATGCTGTTGTAATGCGAGAGGGTATTACGTGGGAAGTGGCGTCCTCGCTTATGAACCACGTTACACCCGAACTATTTGAAGTTAGTAGTACTCAAAGCCCCCGTTCAAATGATCTTTGAATGCGCTAGCTCCGCGGAAATCCAATACGTAGGCTGAGGCTAGAAGGCGGAACCTCTCCATGGACTTGACGAACTTATATAATCGCCGAAAGCCCATGACGGGTACCTAGTTGAGGTTGAATACCCGAGTAGCCGCTTCCCCGCCACTTGGAATACCGTGACTGGTGCCCTCTTCGTTGCTTCAGCTCGCGACTGACAATAGCATCCCCAGTTCCAGGTGCACACAGGGTCATGAATTCCATCCATCCCTTAACGACTCGTGGAGGTGGCCGAGTGTCCCTTGCCTGTATCCCCTGTAGAGCTCGGCATGTCAGGTGTGACGCGAGGCGACCCAAGTGCGATCGATGTTCTGCTGATAGTAGGAAGTGTTACTATGTCGAGTCCCGGAGAGGCGGTTTGACTCGAGAAGCCCTTGCGAAGCGTCGTGAACGAGAAGCAATTCAAAGGCGACCGTCTCATCAGCAGCAGCAGCAGCAGCAGCAGCAACGACAATCTGCGTCTTCTCAGCTATCTTCAAACATTGGTCAGCTTCAGCAAGGCATAGATGTCCCCAGCGCACTGCCGGCAGATGACCATGTGTCGCTTCCAGAAACCAATATCTCGACCGCGTCCAAGTTCATTTCGGGCAAGAGCGCCAGCGACGTCCTCACTGATCCATGTATCGACCTCTACTACGAATATTTCCATCGCCTGCATCCGTGCGTGCTGCCACGGAAGGCTCTGGGGAAGATGCTAGAGGACGAAAGCCAATCTCCTAGTTTGCAACCCTTGCTGGTAGTGATGCGCTTCATCGGCTCACTGTACAAGGGCTCTTGTAATTTGGATCCGGCGGAGAAAGAACTCCCTAGCCACCCCGTTGACGAGGAGTATACCCGGTCCAACGGCTTTATGGTCCAGTATTATCTTCTTTATTCCATCGCCCTATATTGGTGCGGGGAAGAAACACGATCTCGAAAGGAAATGGACTGCGCCATCGACCTCGCTGTAGAGCTGGGCATGCATCAAGCTGGCTTTGCCATCGAACATGGGCGCGGCGATACTGTTCTTCAGGAGTGTTGGAGAAGGACGTGGTGGCAGATTTATGTGGTTGACGCTTACTACGCAGCCATGCAGCACACCTGGACCTCCTTGACCTCTGGTATCATTATGTCCACCCACCTACCGTGCGAAGAGAACGAGTACGAGTCGGGAGTATGTTTTCTATCTTTGTACCATGCGCGTTCACTTACGCTGCCTTTGAATGCTGCTTGCTGACCAACAATGGTAACTAAATCAGGTCATACCGGACCCTAAAACACTTGACGACTTCACCTCCCGAGACTTTGCCTCTGATGATCATGTCTACTCATCATTCGCCTACCTCATCGGCGCCGTTCACGGACTCCTGTCGGCGATGTCGAGGAACTTCCTAGAGTTCCCAGAGAATGCTCACACGCGGCACCTCGAGGCCGCCGATGCCGCCATGGATGGATGGTTTCTGCTTCTTCCCCAGGAGAAACGGGAAATCATGTCTGGTACAGGAGAAATCGACGAGCTGATGTTCCAGGCACACATGGCAATCCACGCGTAAGTTTTCATTCCCGTGAATACATATGTGATTCCCTATAGTGAAAAGCTTCTTCTTTGTACGCCGGGGGTATACTAAACGATGCTGACTGTACCGTCTACAGAGCCGCCGTCGGTCTGCACAGGCAGTACTCGTCGTTGTTCCTGGATCCAACGGAAGCTATCTCCCGTTGCCCTACGAGTGCTCCAGAGTATCGCTTTCGTTGTCCTTCTGAATCTCAGAATATTCATACTGCACGATGTCTGAACGCCGCAGAAAACCAAGCTCGGTTGATGACGCTGCCCACCACCCCACTCACTCACTCGCCCTTTGTCGTGTGCATGATTGTGACAGGGACGATTTCGCTGTTGTCGGCCTGCAAGTTCCACCTTTCCGGTCGCCGACTCGTGGTAGCCCGAGACCAGATTCGAATGAGCATCGGATGGCTGAGGTCATTCGCAATGGTGTGGTCACGGGCGGAGAGAAATCGCTTGGATGTTCAAGCAATTGCCCGAGAAGTCCTCGTTCCGCCAAAGAAATCCCACGCTGGTAGACGGGCAACAGACGACATCATCCCTCCCCACGATTGCGGCCAGCCTGAGGTTGATGCTGGCAACGATACACGCGAGGCGCTGGGCGAACAAGCATTTCTATCGCCATCCTTTGATACACTTCAGGGTTTCTTTCCCTTTGGCGACCTTCAACATAACGTCTCCATGTGGTGTCAGGACTGACAAAGCTTTAACAAGAACTTACACGGATGATATTCTATGCGCATGGGCAAATGAGATCTATTTGCACGCGCCAGGCGTATTCTACCAGCATTCACTGCGCAGCTATGACGACTTACTTGGCTAACGGAATTCAAGAATGCTTCAGCAGGAAGATATATGTATTACTGCTCACACGCAGGGTCCACTTTGTCTACCTATGATTGGCCAAGATCAACCGCAAGACGGCACCGACATTGAAGAAGCAGCATGCACCAAACGCAAACTGCCAGCATCTCGTTCAGTGGCAAAGATTCCTCCTTCGAACGGCATGAACAGTGGACAACATCGGTTACGAAGAGGACCGGATAGCTTCACAGATCCGGGTATTTACGATCATGTCGGGCACAACGAGACTCCCTCCACATCTATATCGGAGTAGGCTGTGTGGCTCATTGGAGGTGTATTGGTCCCAGGGCGGAGGAAATGATCAGATGTTGAGCGTATAGAAGAGAAGAGACACCTAGTAGTTGAAAAGAATGTATACACTTATAAGTAATAGAATATACTTAAAGACCTAAGGTATAAGCAGTTTGTCAAAATCTGCAGTTACAATTCCGATTACATTTGCGGAACTCTACGGCCTCCTGAACCCAACGTTTTCGGTGGCAGACACAGTGGATTCCTGATTCGTACTTCAAGGCTGAAGTTGGCGGCTCGCTTTTCATCTATGTACGTTGGCCACCAGTCGGGCGGTCATTCACCGATCCACTGGTCAGCTGCCCATTTCAAACCATCTTTCAATCTTGGGTCGTCCAGAACATCCGGCGAGCTGTCGAAACCATGGTCTAGATGATCCCAATACTCCGCACGTACTTCTGCCTGGGAGAATCGACTCTTCAGAAGCTCAACAAGTCGAACGACCGAGGAAACTGGAATCGCCGTGTCTCGGGTTCCCTGTATGATAAAAGTCCTCTTGGGCATGTGGGCGTCATGATCGTTGGCGATGCGTCGAAAAATCACGACGTCCCTCGCGGTGCCACTGTCTTCGGCGGACTGCCCTTTGACGATCCAGTCGTACCATTTTCCGTAATACTGGGCACTGCTTGCAAGTGCTACCCTTTCGAAGCCTCCTTCTGTGACGATTTGTGTTTTGGAACGCTTGGCAGAGGCATGCTCCTCCACCACGAGGAAGTCGTTCAGCGGCAATGGCTTAATGCCGAGGACGAAGGCCGGCGAGTTGGAGCTGGTGGCGTCGTATTCAGGATTGCCCTCTCGAAACCAGGCGCAGTCGACGTCAACCATGGGATACTGCAACAGCGGGGATTTGATGCGAGCTCGTGACGGGGACGGCCCAGAGTGGGAAAGGGCCAAGTGCATGGCACAAAAGGCACCGGCAGAGCCGCCCGACACCAAGATTCGGGACAGGTCAGTCTGGACGGCGGGTGCGATTTGTGCCACTTGATCTTCAAAGGATGGAACTCCTCGTGTTTGGTTGTCTTTCGACATGCCACCACCGGTCAGCCAGTGCCAGAAGTCCTCCACATCCTCCAGGATGGCTTGGCCAGTCGATTCTGGAAGAAGTCGATAGTCGGGGCTGACCACAATCGCCTCATGGTCTTGCGCAAAACGAGGGAGCCAGCCGTTGATGAAAGGATGGAACGCTCGGTGGCCCGAGACCAGCCCTCCGCCGTGGAGGTATACCAGGACAGGACATCCTTGCCATGACCGAGACGATTCATGGGGCAGCCAAATGTCCACATTGAGCCATTGCAAGTGGCCGCTCTCATTGGGTATGCATTTATATTGGGTGGTCGAGACTTTGAACTTGTCAGTCACTTCTGAGAAGCTTTCGATACCCATGTTTGACCGCTATTCCAGACCCACGCCCACGCCCACGCCCAAGGAATGAGCCAACTCCAGCCAAACGTCAATACAAAGATGCTCGAATTCAACGCATGTAGCACATAGACAGACCCAACCGCGTTCCCCTGGCGCCTGCGACGGTATTGGAGTAGTCCGTACCAAATCATCGTCCTGAAAGGCTCTCTTCATATCAGATCATCGACACAGGCCGTACGCCGTACTCTCCAATGTGGTTTGTCATCAAAAAATGGCACCCCTGCATAGGTACCTGCTCCCCATCACCCGGCCGGCCAAGCGCTTGACACTGACCGGCTGTTTCGGTCGGAGCGGGAAAGGTACTGGATATCTGACTTCATACGGCGTACGTATTCGGGCCTCGCTTAATGAGGTCGATAGGACCAGCGGCGCCGAGAATATTCTGTACTCGTACTCTGACCACGTATACACTGCATATCCTACCTAGATATTGAAATAGTCCACACATTTAGGCCCCCCTCCATGGCGCTAGGTGAGACTTTTCGCGGTGATAGTCCATACTGTAGCTGACCGGGTATTTCGGCTCCGGGAGAAGGGGGGAGGGGGGTGCCCGGCTCGGCTTGGCTCGGCTGGGTGCACACTTATACTCGTATTTTGTCTCTTCCGAGTACTTCTTGTAGTACCTATGTATCCATTGTTCAAAGACTTAGCGAAGCCTTGCCGAAACACACCTATCAGCCGCGGTTCTTTTCTTGAAAGAGATGGTGTCATTTTTCATCCGCCTCTCATTCGTCGACACTTTTCCGCCTCAGGTCCATCGCTCGTGTACGAATAGTAGGAAGTGTACGTATGCCGGGACCTTTCAATGACATGAGCAGTCCCATATGAAAGAAAAAAGAGTGAGTGACTGGCTGGGGCCTGGCTCATCGCGCCGGAGCTTTCCCGCAGATAGGTAGTCTTTCGTTTGGCCCCGTCCTTGCTGGCAAGCGGGACAGGCAGCGGTACTCGGTAATATATATCAAGAAGATAGTATGTATGTTTGTCATCTCAGCGTGCTCTCGTCCCGCCGCCAGGGATACCCGCCCGGAACGTATGCCTTTCCCAGATTCTGGTGTCGGGACACCACACCGCATGAGCCCCCGAGCGTGGCAAATAGTGCGCTATTGCGAGTGGTGGGGGGCTGGGGACTTGGACATCTGGCCAGCAACCCAGTGCGCAAAAGTGGTGGGATGGGGTCTGAAAGTCCTCGCCATCGATGGTCGACTGGCCGGCTATGTAAGAGTCCGGAGGAGTGTATGTGCTTTTGGGGTCTCCAGCCGACGACATGGTCATCAGTAGTACCATGGGCAAGCAACAGAGCTCAGTTTCAGTTCTTGCAAGTCTCACGGTGCATGGTCTAGGTGATTCTTATTCCCTCTGGTGACACTAGCTGGTATATAAGACGTCCAATCTGAGAGACGACAGAGTCCATTTTCCCGCCCCCACCCCAAAAGGCGAGCTTCGACTCCCGGTCCCGATTTCACAAAGAGTAGACATTCCTGTGTATCATGGTAGCCATCGAAAGGCAGGATGCTTCCACTCGAGATCTTGCATCTGTTTTTGAGACAGGCCGGCCAACTCAGAATCAACGTCCTTCTTCTCCCGGCGGTGGTTGTCTCGCAGCATGAATACCAGCAGGCCGACGGACAACAACAGCAAGACGCTGCTCGTTGCGAGGTTGATGCCATTGCCGATGTGATACTCCGGGGCATCGGTGGGTAGGTATGTCCACGTCGAGATGAGGCCTCCAGCATTCCCGAATAGTACGCACGTGCCTATCGCTGCGGCCCGAGCTGTGTCGGATACGATGTTCGCCGAGACCTGGGCATTGACAAAGGCGACAAAGGGAAAACAACCCATTGCGATCAGAAAAGTTGCGCCGTATCGAACCTGGGCCTGCGTGTGCGTCGTTCCGAGAAACATGGCGTAGCCGATGATGATCAGCGGGGCACTGAGAATGAGAAATATTTGTCGTCGTCCGGTCCGGTAGCTGAGGTATGAATAGAGGATGGTCATAAATGCGGCCACCACAAATGGCGGGGCGGTGCGGAGCTGCTGTTCCACCGTGGTCGTCTCCGGATAGATCGTCTTGACGATGGTGGGTAGGAATACGCTCAGCCCCTGGATGGTGATGCCAGCCAAACAGAAGCTGAGACCCACAGCAAGAGTGACGGGCGAAGTAATGCCGCGAATGACTTTGGGACGGTCCAGTTTGTCCAAGACTTCCGTGCTCGCAATTCTTTCAGACTTGATGCGAGCAATGGCCAGGCCCTTCTCCTCTTTATCGAGCCATCGAGCTGTGGCTGGGCGATCGGTCAGGAGTAGAAAAAGCATCAAGGCGATGCCGATCGAGATTACTCCCTCCACGGCAAATATCATCCGCCAGGTCCTGACATTGCCGAAGCGGCTTAGCTTCAAGATCCCAGAAGCCAGGAGGCCTCCAAAGGCACCCGACACAGGAGACATCGACATGACCATTGCCAGACGGAACGTGAGTTCGGACCTTCTGTACCATCGCGAGAGGTAGTAGGCAATACCGGGGAGCATTCCAGCCTCAAACAATCCCAAAAGAAATCGGACCGCGTATGCGGTGGATTTGCCGTGGACGTAGCCCATGCAAAGGGTCATGACGCCAAAGCCGAGAGTGGTGGATGGGAGGAACCACCCTGGCCCGATCAGCTTGCAGATAAAAGTGGCCGGCATCTCGAATGCGATATAAGAGACGAAGAAGACGGTGAGGATCCTGTTGAAATCGTAGCCTGTGAGGTGTAGATCTTTTTCGAATCCTGCCAGCCTCGCGTTGCCTGTTTGGCGCGTTAGCATGCTGGCGACATCCCTGGTTTGAGGGGGAGTTGGAGTTCACCAATGCTAACTCTGTCGAGATTTCCAAACAGGTAGAGGACAGCGACGAGTGGCAAGATATACAAGTCTATCTTGTGGCGAAGCCGTGTCTCTGCCTTGGGATCAAAGATGATCAGTGGGTTGCCGTGTCTGACACGGCATTAGCAGATTTGCCTTAGGGGTTTGCTTATTCGGCGGAAACACTCACGCATCGACTGCCGTATGTCCACGCTCAGCGACATCGTGTGTGGTGGCAGCTGCGGTATCTGTGGCCCTTTCAATAGCCACAACGGTCGGGACGCTTGCATGCGTGGCACCCGCAGAGTCCTGCTTCTCCATAGCGGGATGATTTGTGATCTGATGGTGGCAAGAGACAAGGAAGCGAAGACCGTTGCGACTCGAAGGATCCTTGGGAACTGGAGTTATTGTCTGCTGCTGTCCAGGCCGTGGTCCCGAACAAGCATGTGAGCAGCTAGGGACGCAATGGACCGCGTAGTCCCGCAAGCAGAAATGGGGAGCGTGTCTCCCGGCCGAAGGCCAATAGCCCTGAGACCAAAGATATCCGACGGCAGACCCAGGTTCACCAGGGAGGACCGAAGGGTTCGGCCGGGGAACCCACACCTCACTCTCCACAGTCTACTCTCCACAAGTCCAGGATGCTCCGGAGGTACAGCAACTTCGGAACTCTTCCCGAAATATCCGTCAGAACGCGCCCGCGGGGAACTATTGATGCGAGGAATAGCATTTCGTGTCCTCGGTGGGCACCTGTAAGCCCTCTCCGTTTTCGTCAGTGCCAACTTCGGGAGGCGGGAAACGGGGGATTATGTATAACATTCAGACGTTCTTGCATCGCGAATGATCACCAACAAAGATTCGAGGTGAAAGATGAGCGGCTCAGGGACAACGCTCGAGGTCGAGGGGAGACCGCCGACCCTCTTCCCGCCTGCCGATCTCAGTCGTAGAACGGCCAAGCTGATCACGTTCGAGGAACATGCGGTCACGCCGTTTCCGACACCGACCACTTCAGTGACGTTCGAGACATTCCATCCGACGTTTCTCGAGGGGTTGAAAGAGCGGCTCAGGGACGTCGATCTTCGCGTGAAGATTATGGATGCCAACAATATCGCGGCCCAGATTATTTCCCTGAACCAACCCACGGCCCAAGCCTTCACGGATCTCGAAGAGTGTAAAACCTTCTGCCAAAAGGCCAACGACTTCATCTACCAGAACTACTGCAAAGCCTATCCGAACCGGTTTTTTGCCTTTGCCACACTCCCGACCCAGAATGGAAAATCCGCGGCGGAGGAGCTCGAGCGTTGCGTTCGTCAGTATGGATTCGTCGGGGCGATGATCAATGGCTTCACTGCCACTAAAGATCCCACTAAAGGCCTCTATCTCGACGATGAGCAGTTTGATGCGTTGTGGGAAGTTTCAGAGAGGCTCGAAAAGCCAATTTTTATTCACCCTCGTGTCCCTCTCCCGTCGAATATCAAGGTCCTCGAGGACATTCCGATCTTGCACGGTGCCCCTTACGGCTTCGCAAGAGAGACGGTCGAGCACGTCTTCAGATTGATGTACACGGGTGTCTTCGACCGCTTTCCAAAACTGAAGATCTGCTTGGGCCATTGTGGAGAAGGTCTGTCGTGGATCTTGCCCAGGACCGATACAACATTTAGGATGTACTCCAAAGGTGATTTTTGACCCCATCCCATTCGGCTGATTGGAAACATGGGTGCTAACGGGTGAACAGCTGCCCAAGGTCCGAAGATGAAGAGGTTTCAACAGTACTTCCAAGACAATATCGTTTGCAACACAAGTGGAATGCCCAGGACCTCGGCCCTTCTGAATCTGATCGCAGAAGCAAAACCGGTGCATGTCACCTTCTCCGTCGACTATCCTTATGAGAGCGTGGCCGAGATGAGGTCGTGGTTCGAATCCGTGCCCGTTTCCGATGAGACATGGAAAGACATCGGCTACCGTAATGCGATTAGGATTTTCAAGCTACCCTTAGACTTAGATCAGTGACTTCTCGCAAAAGGGTTCACATAATGAGCATACTCAGCAAATCTACTAGATCTGCAAACCATTATACTCATGGAAGCGAGACTGATGGTCCACATCCACATTCTTCTGTAATTCATCAGAGCCAGGTCCGTCTGCTGTTGATAGGAGGCTGTAAGAAGTTTCCCAGGTCCGCTTCAGCAACAAATTGTCCATTCATCCAGTCTGACGGAGACAGATCAAAAAAGTCAAGCTCAGAAAGCCCATGGGCAGTGACAGTGCCCAGATTGTTAAGAGACCCATGATCAGCTGCGTCGTTCACTATCGTCGGATATGTCAGTGGAGCGGAGTGTGACAGAGACTCGGGACACACTGACGAAGCAGCAAAGAGCACTGGTGGACTTTCCCCAGATACCGGCGGCAACGATTGCCAATATCAGAACCAGGTCCAAGTGTTTCAAGGATTTTGACCGTGTCTTGAATGTTGCTGAGCAAGATTCTATTCTCCAAACCAGATATCTGCATTCCATATCTGCGGTTGATCACGATGACGGCAAACACCACCAGGGCTGAGCTGAAAGCTTTTTATGTTGTAATTAGTAGAATGAACTGCTTGGCGATAGGCTACCTACCGTAGTAGATTTGAAACCACCATGTTGTCGACGGGCGGAACTGATACCTCTGATCAGAAGCTACGGACAAGAGAGCAATCATCTCGAGCGCGGAACTGAGGCAACACTCCAGGCTAGATTGGCCAAACTGTTGGAGGAAATCATCCTTCTTCCCATGTCCATCATCTAAAACGTCCAGTCCGAGGAAGGAGGTGGCCATCGGCCGATGCAGCAACAGCCGCGTATGGAGATACCTTAATGTGAGAATAAGGCTGAACGCAATGTCATCAGCAGAGTTTCGATTGGCTGCCGCCAATCGAACCTCGTCCTGGGAAAGGACGCGCAGAGGAGAGGGTATGGCAGACTTCCATCGTGCCAATTCTACCTCAAGTGACATGATTTGGTTGAACAGGAATGAGTTCGGAGGTCGTTCTTCTGTCTTGACGTTGTTCTGATATACCCTTTCCAATATCTTCCCCACAATCGCGTAGATCTTCCTGCTCTGGGCGTCAGTCGAATCGAATCACGAACTCCGGAGGACGTTTACCGACACCGATTCGATGAATGCGGCAACGGACGAGGATTTTCGCATATGCATGGACGACTGAGACGGAGAATCTCCGTCATCCAATACATCCAAATCGACGTCGACTGGCAAACTGATCCTTTGAAGCTCTTCTGGAATGGTTTGTGGCCGTCCAAACGTCATTGAGCATGTCCTGGGGAGGTTAGATTCTTCATCAGACTGCCTGTTTCCAAGTCTTACTTGTCCATAATGTAGCACATGTGCCAGCACCTTTTCATAATCTCTTGCTCCCGTGGATTATGTTTGGTGCGTTCTGATGGCGAATGCAGGCCGATCTGAAAGGCGGCTTGGGTACAGAGCCCTTGAACGGTCCAAGTGCGTGCAGAGTGCTGCGTGCCCTGTAAAAATTGGAGCATCAATAACAGCGCCTGAACTGGAGAAAAATCGGTCAGCATAGATGTCCAAACAATCTGTCCTTCTCAATTCTTACGAGTTTCGAGATTGGCAGGCTGGAGAGCAATGTCGGGAAGCAGCTTCAAGGCTCTCTGGAGAAACATTTCCGCGTCGGTCTTTTCTTGCGGGAAGCTAACAGCTTCACTGGTGGCAAAGGCCATCATGGTATTAAGAAGGCACAGCCATGAGCGCCTCACACCTGACAAAGTAGAATTCCCCGCTTTGGTGAAGGCATCTCGAAAGTCCTTTGGAGAGAGATATGGAAATAGCATCCCAAACCCCGAGAAGAATGTGTCAATATACCGAAGCACTGTCGCCCGCGGCGGTAGCAGAAAGCAATTCGCATCTTCTAGACAAATGCCGTCGGCTCTTCGGTGTCGGTTCACTGAAGGCGGTCGCGAGAAAGATGTGTCGTGGAAACCGTGGGTTGCATTCGCTGTAGAAGGTTGAGTTGCAAGTGGACGTAACCGCCGCAAGGAAGCATCAATATCTGCAAAAAAAGCAGAATTTGAGGAAGGACCTTCTGAAATTAGCGTCCAAATCCCAATGGTGGAGGAGGAGAGACTCGCCGAAAAATGCAGAGGATGATTCGTCCGCAAAGGTGATCAAAACCATGCCATCTACAGTATCGCTTGGCCGATTGTCGGGTTTCGGGGTCACGATAATATCGCTTGAGATCGACCTTGAATCGGACGGGGCGGCCATCAAGTCGCGATCAGGCTCCCAAGAGGCGTTGCCACTATTTTGCGGCGATATGAGACCCTGGGTACGTGGGAGCAGGGCGTCGCTGTCGGTAGTTTTGCCGCCTGTATTAGACTTCGAAGTGAGCAATCGGAGCGTCTCTTCCATGGCACTTAACCGCAACTCGAGATGAGAAGGGGTCCTATGCACGCGGATGTCAGCAGACAGGCGGCGCCTGGAATAAAGGGCAACGTCTCCTCACCCCTGGTCTGCCACAGCATGCGACTCGTTTCTTGCTATTCGCGAGTATACGCAGGTGAAGTCCATGTCCAGACATGTGCCACAGCTGGGTCTGATACCGTCGCATCTTGTTTTTCTAGCTCGACACGACTGGCACGCCAGAGCGATGCGTTGTCTCTTCGACTTGCGCTCTGACACATCGGCCCAAGTTCCATGCGAGGTAGCCATGAAAGAATTCCCAGTGTGGTTTCTCTCTCCGAGCGCAAATCACGAGCACTCGGCGTGATGCAAGAGGTCAAGGAGGGAAAAGGGCTTAATAGCGCTATGTCATAGATTCTGGTGGGCTGTCTTCGAGAGAGGAGAGAGTAACGAAGAGGGAGAGTCTCTGAGAGACGACAATATACACCTCGACGCGTGGTCTAGATTGATTCTTCCTAGCCGGTTTCCCCGATGGACCCCCGTACACGTGACTGTACTGGCAACGAGCGCTCCTGGACCAAGGGGCTCCAGTGACTGGGGAAGGTAATGCGGGGATCTGTAATGACCGCGCCAAGGCGACTGTCATCCCAGGTCCTTGGCCGCTAGTTACTGCTCTATCATTATTCGTACAGACCACCATAGATAGGTAGGTACCTGTGCAATCCCTTCTGCATCTGGATTCGAGAAATGACACTGATACGTCGCCAATGGTTCTCGTGCTAAATGCCCTTCATCCTCTCCTTAGGGACACTTCACCCATTCACCCGATCTTCCGATTGATCACGCTCGTGTCCCATTCATGGATTGGTCTGAGTGCCACTTGGTTGACATGGCGTTTCTGTCCTCCCCGAATCTCATAAATATTGTCTTTAGTTCCGTGTACAGACCTAACCCATGAAGAGAAAGCTCCCTTCCTATGCCAGATTGTTTCCATCCGCCGACCGGCATATCCACAGCTCTGACTGGTACTGAGCAGTTGACGCCCACAGCACCAGCCTCAAGGGCTTTGGAAACCCGGAGCGCTCTCTCGAAATCTCTAGTATAGACGGATGCTAGAGAGTAATTTGTCAGCTTTTGGGAACGTCCCAACACGGAGCGACGCTCACTCACAGAAGAGTCCAAATTCGACATTGTTCGCCTCGGCAAGCGCTTGCGATTCGTCTTGGAAAGTGTTAACAATGATGACAGGGCCGAAGATCTCCTCTGTGTACGCGAGAGAAGACTGTGGAACATTCTTCAGAATGGTTGGCTCTATGAAGGAGCCTGCAGTGCCATGTCGCCGTCCACCACGAACAAGAGTCCCATCCGCTTCACCGGCGGCGATAAGCCTCTGAATGTGAGCCAGTTGCTTCATATCCACCTGAGGTCCCTGGAAAGTGGCTGGATCAGACGGATCCCCCAGGCTGACTTTCGACATGAGATTTTGCAGCTTTTCAATATACTGATCGGCCACGGATTCATGGACAAGTACTCTGCTATTCGCCTGACAATGTTGGCCGCTGTTGTGATTAATGGCGAAGTGTGTATACCTGGCCGCGGCATCGAGATCGGCGTCTTCGAATATGATTGCAGGTGACTTACCACCAAGTTCGAGAGAAACGTTCTTGAGGTTCGAGTCGGCCGCCATTTTCAGAATTTTTCGGCCCGTTGCAACCGACCCGGTAAAGGAGATCTTCCGAATCTTCATATGAAGTGAGAGCGCGCTTCCCGTCGGTGTTCCAAAACCACTGATGATGTTCACAACGCCTCGAGGAAATCCACACTCCTGGATTAGAGAGGCCAGCTTCAATGAACTTAGTGGCGCCTTTTCCGACGATTTCAGCACCACGGTGTTCCCGCAGATTAGAGCCGGCGCGACCTTAAAAGCAAACATGATCATAGGGACCTAGGATACGAAATATTAGCGTGGATCTTAAATATGGTGTATGGTTGCTTAGCTTACATTCCACGGTATAATTAGCCCGACGACGCCATACGGTTGTCGAACAGTAACATTGAGGAAGTTCGGCGACTCGAGACTCGACTCGCCCAGGATGTGATTTGCGCAACCGGCGAAATAGTTAAAGACTCCGACGCAAGCAGGAATGTCCATTTTCTTGAGTAATTCCAACGGTCTAAATTCCGATCGTCAGTCAAACAATACTCGTAGGTGATGGGTCAGGGAATGCTACTGACTTGCCCATACAAGCCGAGTCGAGCGCAGCAAGCTCCTGCGCATCGCGCTGAATGAGCGTGGCTAATTTAAAGAGGTAGGCTGCTCGCTCGTGGGCTGCAAGGGCACTCCATCCTGGGAACGCTTTGCACGCCGCATCCACGGCAAGATCAACGTCCTCTTCGAGCGCTTCATGGACCTCGCATATCTCTCGGTCGGTGTAAGGGTTATGAATCTTGAAAGTTTTGTGTCGTTTCCCAACCACAAACTGAGTCCGTTAGGGGGCCCTAGATGTCGCTTTCTTCAGGGGAATACAAACTGACCTGTCCATCGATAAAAAGTCGAGTTTCAGGGTTGGATTGACCCATTCTGCAGGCGAGCGACGCTACGCAACGACAGAGCAGCAGTCCAAGCAAGCACGCAGAGCAGGGCTTGTACAATGGACCGCAAGCTTATTTACTACATCTTTCCCTGGCGTCAGTCTTGACCCGTTCATGGGTTTGTTTGCCTTCCAATTTGGCCATTCCAATCGCAGGGAGGGAAGGAGGAAGGAGAAAGCGCGTTCGTTCCGGGAGCATACCCGAAATATCCGGTTCCCAGTCGGAATCTGAGTCCAGCCGAATGTTGCGCCAAGGAGCCGGTGCAATGTGAGCAGTTCAAGCTACCGGTCTTTGGAACCCATGTGTGGCATGGGTGGGAGCGTAGAGCATTTTGTGACTGGTCCCACCCCCGATGCAGGATCATGTAGAAACGAATACAGGGTTTGTGCAGTTCTTATGACTATTCGAGCTACTAAGCATGTATCCACAATGTCTGCTGTTCTGCTAGGTCGATATACACACAGGAAGGGGCGCCGGATCTTGATGACCTCTGATCTCTAAGGAAGATAGTCCTTGACGATCAAGGGCTGACAGACCCCAGATCTGCCCTTTTTTGGGTCGACACTTGCTTGGTAGCTATCTCGTATGTACTTGGTAGTTATAGCTTGACGTGAACGGCCTTGATCTGAGTCATTTCCATCATTTCCTCGAAACAATCGTCCCTTCCGGTGCCAGACTGTTTGTAGCCGCCGAAAGGCATCGTCAAGAAGTGAGTGCCGACAGTGTTGACCCATACAGTGCCGGCTTGAATGCGTCGAACCGCTTTCTGTGCCGTGACCATGTCGGACGTATAGACAGCTCCGGTCAATCCGTACTCAACGGCATTGACCTGTGCAAATAAGGCATCCTCGTCGTCCCATTTGATGACTGACATGACAGGGCCAAAGATCTCTTCCATTGCAATGCGCATGGTTTGCTTGACATCGGCGAACACTGTCGGTTCCACGAAAAATCCCCCTTTCGTGTCTTCTGTGCTCGGCACTTTCCCACCCATGACGAGACGCGCACCTTCCTGTTGACCGAGGCTGATGTAATGGAGAACGCGATCCTGCGCAGCTTTGCTTACAAGCGAACCCATGGTGGTGGCCGGGTCCAGAGGATTCCCGGGCCGGTAAGATCGAGACAACTTATCCGCCACTAATGCCAGGACCATGTCGTGATGGGAGGTGTGCAGAAACACGCGAGACGTCGAGCCGCAGGACTGGCCGCACCAACTCCAATTCATGCCTGAAACAACGCCGTCGACCAGCTTATCCAGGTCTGCATCGGGATAGGCGATCAAAGCATTCTTTCCCCCCAGCTCAAATGAAGTCAGCTTGAGCGTGTCAGCGGCCGCCCTCTGTATTGCCCGGCCGGTGGGTAAGCTCCCGACCAAAGTGATCTTGCGGACGATTAGATGGCTGGCGAGCGTCTTGCCACAGTCTATGCCCCCAGAAAGGACGTTCAGGACTCCCGGTGGAAAGATATTTCCAATGAGTTCCATCATGCGCATGGCTGAAAGGGGTGCCTGCTCCGGCGATTTAATGACCACCGTGTTCCCCATCGCCAGGGGGGCAGCTAATTTGAAGGCCGTAAACATCAAAGGGTGGTTCGATGCAACGATACGCGCCACAACGCCCAACGGCTCTCGTAGCGTGTAGTTGAAGGTGTCATCTCCAAGATGTCTCGTTTCACCCACGACCGCGGGTATCATTCCAGCAAAGAAATCGATCGTATCGGCGGCCATGTGCGCATCTCCCGCCATGATGGTGATGGGGCTGCCAATGTTGAGTGCATCGAGCATGGCGAGCTCCACAGCATTTTCGCGCAAAACTTGCGCGGCCTTCCTCAAAAGCTTGCCTCGTTCCAATGGCTCCACGGCTCTCCAAGCAGGGAACGCCAATTGAGCAACCTCCAGAGCCGCAACAGTGTCCTTGACACCTGCAAACGCGACCTTGGCAACGATAGTTCCTCGCCCGGCATTCACGGTTTCGCGGTACTCGCCATCTTCCGGGGCGTGCCATTCTCCTCCGTAAAACAAGTCGAGGCTCTTTGGCATGCATTCTTCTACCGAAGGGAGCTTCTCCGGCAGTGGGTGTGGCAAGCGGCCCATGGTGATTGCGCCCTCGTTCCGTGTTGCGACCGCTTCCTCAGCTCGATTCGACAATCATAGGCCGTCCTTCTTGTACTTAGTCCATCTCGATGGCTGTTGTTCCTTTGTTCTTTTAACGCGTCTGTGTCATGAGCGGCTGGCCTTCTGTGGTCAGGATGGAGGACAAGCCGGATCCGACGTCCGAACCCGAAATTACCGCACTGCTCACCTGTTCGGTTCTGAGGCTCACGGACTTAACGCCGCTCTGGCGAAGAGTTGGGCGAATGTTATTATGTGCACAACATCAAGTACCCGGTCTGTTCCCGGACGGAATGACGACGGTGAAGTATATCCCGGTCAACTCGACGGAGGACCGCACGGGGGAACGGCGGAGTATATCTTACCTTGCGTAGAAGTGCGTTCTTTCATAGCGCAAGTGTGCATCGACTCGAAAACGGATTGTCGACACTCCCACAGCGCGTTGCGAAAGTCGGGTCAGACTTGGCATTGCCTTGGAGCGCTCTTCAATTCCTCCAGACTACACAGAACGAAGGGGCGCAGGAATCTCAGAAGACTTGGATATCATTGTGTTTTGCTATTTTGGACTCTGGATTCCTTCATCGGCGCGAACAACTCTTCAATGTCCATTTTCTTCTCAATCATGCCCTGTTCAAAGAGATATTGAACCAAAGTTTCCAAGGTTGTTCGATTTGAGTCGATACCGTAGGGCCAACAGTCATCCCCGAATGTCTCCTTGATCTCCTCCAGATCCTGGGCCAACCATGGCAACATGTAGCGAAGCGTTCCCAGATACTTCATCCGATCCATGGCCAACCTTTTGGAATCTTGGAGAGCGTTAAACAGGGAAGTGGTGATGAATTTATGACGTCCCCATAGCTCTCGTCTGACCACAACAAGATGCATAATAGGGAAGATGCCTGTTTGTTTATAGTAGTCTTGTTCCACCTTGCGGTAGTCTGGAAACAGCCTGCGAACATGTGGCGTGGAGTTCAGACAATCTGGGATGTCAGGCCCAATGATTGCATCGATGACACCATCTGCAAGTAACCCGTTGAGGGACTTGGAACTTCTGTTAGGCACGAGGCTGACGGACTTCGGCGAGGGAAGCACGGATGGCTGTCCATAGGGTCCGGCCTTGTTGACGTTGCCCTCGATCCAGTTGATGGTCGCGAGGTCTACGCCGTACTGGTGCATGAGAAGACCACGAATCCAAACGGCGGCGGTCATGGTGTACAAAGGCACTCCAATCGTCTTGCCAGCGAGGTCTTCAGGGCGCTTAACCGTGTGCGTGTTGACAAAGATGAAGCTGTGGCGGAAACATCGAGAGGGAAAGGCCGGGATTGCTATGAAGGACCGATCACCAGCGGCGTGCCGCGTGACATACTCTGAACTGGAGAATTCGCTGGCATCGAATTCGTGATGCCCCGCCATCCGGTCGAATGTTTCGCGGGGATGTTGGATCTCAATGAAGTTGAGAGACACTCCGGAAGCCCGGACCTCCCCTGTGGCCAAAGGAACAAGGCGATCGTAGAGGCCACTGGCGAACGAGACTGGAATCCCTGCCATCTTCTGAATTGGACTTCTGTTCACCGAGAGTGCGGACGCCAGGTTCGGGCCAAGCGAAGGACACCAAAGTGCATGGCTTTATGCCAGCACATATGAGGTTTCGCTGGAAATCTCGCCTATGGTCCCCGGGTATTTCGGCACGTTTTCAGATCTGGCTGTTACTCGCATTCTCCACTCATTCCCCTCCATTTCCTTGTTTGCCTCTAAATTCCATCCCTGCCACCTTACCACTATTAGGGACTCAGTGGTCCAACGCTGTAGATTCCCCCGCTACATTTATGCTTCACGTCACTTAGTTTAAGCTTTCCCGCCGAGGAGAGCAGATGGTTGACCATAATTCTCATGGTGAAAACGTTCATGCTTTCCCGCAAAGGGTCGTTTTACTTTCGCAACTGAGCACTCAAGCTCGACAAGAGCGCTGCCGAAAATAGAGGCCGATGCTTCAAGAAGGGATGAACTGTTAGATGGTAGTCTGCTACGATATGTTTCTCGATTCACAATCCAACTTCGACAGGGATTGATCTTCTGCTATTAGAGCTCTCGCTTGTCTGGTACGTTCAAAAGGGTCGGGAGTCGCTGTGCGGACCTTCCTATATACATTGCTCCTTGGTCTTTGTCGACTCCCGACTCGCTCTTCTGCTCATCAATGGATACTCTGCCACTAAATCCGGTCTTGAGAGTCAACCCGGACAGTTGGCCATCTGTCAAGACCCCTCATTTTCTTTTGCGGAAGTATAAATCACACTTGCCATTTTGGGGCCGAATCGTGAAGAATTCAACGTGGGCCATTGTTTCGGGTGTGGTCCAGGGCGCGCAGACGACCTCATACGTACGGAAAATATGGCCTAAGTGAATTCGGAGCTGCATGTTTCCCAGGCTTGGGGTCGTGTCAGCGCCTCCAGCCCATGTGATCGCAGCAAGGACAACCACTTACTTCACACCAATGCAAGAGCGCGGTCCGGCGGAGAAGGGGAGATAATTCAGCTTCATCGCGGCCGAGGGATTGAACCATCGCTCGGGCCAGAAACTGAAAGGGTCGGGGTAGACTTTGGGACTGCGGTGGTTTGTATAAGCCTGCATGCCGACGATGGTGCCCGCGGGTATGAAGGTGCCTTCGATGGTCAGGCCGCCATCGGGAGCGAGTCGTTCCAAGTATGATGGAATGGGAGCGTGTATTCGTAGCGCTTCCCGGCAGACACCATCGAGAAACGGCAGTTGAGACAGTTTTGCAAACGTCAACGGCTCCGAGGCATCGGGAAAAGCCTCCAAAAGCTCCTCATATAGCTTTTGCTGGACGTCTGGCCGGGTGGCGAGTTCGTAAGACGCGAACATAGCGGTATTGGCCGTTGTATCCGAACCCGCGTTGCTGAGGAAAAGACTGTCAGTATCATTGGGTCCTCGGATTTCCGCAAATTCCACCTACAGGATTTCCATCATTTCTGCGATGATTTCTTCCGGTGAGAGCGCCTCCTTCGGATTCTTCACGGCAGCCTCCTCTAAGCGAGCGAGAATGTCGACTCGGTGTCGATGGCCCTTTTCTGCTCGAGACCAGCCATCCCGAGCCCGAATGGCATACTATTCCGCCTTTGTCAGCGAAGCGACGACTGCATTCTTCATGGTGCTATTGTACATACTTTGGCGATTTCATCATCAGCGTTGATCCAGTTTTTTGCGGTCTCCGGGCTCAAGATCTTCAAGATTGGAATCACGAAGGGGAAAGGCCCAGCCTGGTTCCACGACATCAGCCAACGCATCCGGGTCGGAGGACTCAAAACATTCTTACTAGACCATTCCGTTTGTTTCGGTACTCGACGTGGCGGATGAAATTGTCGTCTTCTTGAACAAGCATGCCAATCTGCTGTCCAAAGGCAATATCGGCCACGACATCGAATGTCAAGTACCGAAACCACTTGAAGCAATCTACATGCTCGCCCGTGTGATCCCAGTTCTCCAGCCATTTCAGAAACCTTTCCAAGTGGAACCTAATGACAGGCTCCATCTCCATCAGATTCTGGTGCGAAAATGTTGGCAACAGGGCCTTCCGACGGAGGTGAGCTGACTTGACGTCACGTATACCAATGCACATCTTCACGTCATGGTACTTGAACCCCTCGTATGCGGACGATTTGGTGGCCTTGTTGCTGTAGATGGCTTTGACCCCTTCGTCTGAGGCCACACAGACTTTGTTGGGCGCGATGCGAATGACCGGTCCATAGTGCTGATGTTGTTCAATAATCCAACCAGCTCGTTTGCCGGTGAAAGACTGGACAAACAGAGGCAAACGAGAGACTTTTGCCAGCCACGGGCCAGGAACGTGTTTCAGAGGATTGCTAAAGTATTGAACAATCTGGAACACGAAAAAACCTATGCTCAGCCCGACGATGCCGACAAGGATAGGATGCTCGCATAGATACGGCTGTAATTTTGCTGTCGGCTGCATCTTTGAGAGTACTTGCCTCGGCGTGCTTACAGTGGCCGTTGGGATCGCATCTTAGGCTCATGGGTGAGAAGTCATTATAATACCCAAGCAGCTATCTCCCACGACCTGCAGATCAACGCAGCCATCGCGTCTTGTCAGAGTCCGAGGCCGAGGAGGCGAGGATATCATGATTGTAAACAGAGGACTTCGACCGTTTGGCCGAAATTCTCAGACCTGCCGGCTATCTCGGGTTCAATCTTCCGGCCCCGATGGCATCCCAAGCAACCTAGACATTAGAGACTGTGTCGGAAAACATGCCGGAGGCAGGGTGGAATTGTCTACCCGACGAGCGTATCGTAAAACTGAAGAGCAGCAATCGTGATGCCGCGGGGATTGTGGAATTTGTGAACGTCGTGATCACCTGAGGACAAAGAAAGATCTGCCGGAGCCTGTTCTCGTGCCTTGGACCTCATCTCTGACCGCTCTTTTCATGTTCCTGCCATGGTTATAGACACTACTTAGTATGGCAAGGGAATTCAGTGGCAGTTGTGGTTTGAGGCAAAACCTGGCCTCGCCGCCTGAGACAGCCTCTGCGGCGGTTTTGACTGGTGATTACAGTGATCCATATACGGTGAAAAGGGTTTGTGTGTCGCAGCCGGGACCGCAAGAGGTTCTTGTCCAGCTGGCATTCACCGGTGTGTGCCACGGAGATGTATATGCACGAGATGGTGGCGGTCCAGCCCCGAAGATCCCTATTCGGCCATTGGTCGGAGGCCACGAGGGCGTTGGAACCATTGTCGCCATGGGCACGGCAGGCATGGACGGGTTCAGGATAGGGGATGTGGTGGGAATTGCTTGGAGAAGTTATGTCTGCGGCACCTGTAACGCGTGTAAGCACGGCGAAGAAAACCATTGTTATAATCAGCAAGTCACTGGGTCACATCGAGATGGGACGTTTCAGGGTACGTCGACGTTCCGCCACAGGCAACGGGGCCCGAGTGGAACCTAAGTTCTTCCCGTCATGAGGAGGCCATCTGACGAATTTTACAGGATATGTCTCCTTCCCAACTTCTCAGCTGATCCCTATTCCGGCGAAAATCTCTCTGCCGAGTGCCTGTCCCATCCTCTGCGCGGGCGTCACTGTTCATACCTCGCTGCGGCTGATGAAGCCACAGCCGTCGAAATGGTGCGCCATAGTCGGCGCTGCGGGCGGTCTAGGTCATCTGGGCATCCAGTATGCCAAGGCCATGGATCTGAAGGTGCTGGCGATCGACGGGAACGGGGCTGAAAAAGAAGCGTTCTGCAAAAAGATGGGCGCCGATGCTTTTGTCGACTTCGGTCGGGAGGACTTTGTGGAGGCCGTGGTCACTCAGACCGGCGGCGGTGCGGACTATATTCTGGTTCTGAGTCCTCATCAGTCATCATATGAGTAAGTTCTGCTCCCTGCTGCAAGTGGAGTGCGACCGTGGGTGACACCCCTTTTCTTTCTATAGTGCGGCTGGACAATACGCAAATTTCGGGGCACACATCATGGCGGTTGGAATTGGAAACGCCCAGTAAGTACTCCAGAGGCTCCTTGACTTCTGGAAGGAGGACTAGCGTGCTGATCGGTGGCCAAAACAGCATGTCGTTGAGACCGATTTTGAACAAGAACTTGGTGGTTCGCTCTAACGAGACGGGGACCAAGGCAGATATCCTCTTGGCCTTGGACCTCTGTGTCCAAGGCAAGGTTGTGCCAGAGCTCGAAATCATTGAACTTGATGATATCAACATAGCACTGGACCGAATCAAGTCGGGCAAGGTTATGGGAAAGCTTGTTGTCGATCTCCGGGGTCGAAAGAATTGAAGTGTCTGCTGTTAGAGCTTGCCGGAACCCCTGAGGAGCCAATACCTGGGCATTTACCTCTAAAGGATCGATTATAGAGACCTAAAAATAGAGTCCACCAAGTGGTAAGAGTCAGGATGGGAACATTTGATACACAGTCAGAAAGTAGCTTACGTATCGTAAAGCGGCTCGTAATAGACTAACTTGTTGAAGATAAAAGGGATAGTGACCAATATCTTCCGGCTGGAAGGCAAGGGGGATTAAACGGGTCTAGAGGTAGAGACCGCCCCGCTCGATCGATGTATACCCTCGCACATGTACTTCCTCGAAAGAACGTGTTCGGCGCCGCTCCGCCCTTTTACACTCCCAACCCGTTCTATCCGTGCTTTAGGATCGTGGGGACCCCGCGTAAAAGTTGCTATCTCGTTTTGTCAAAACCTGCCCCACAAAGGCCAGTCTCTCCGGATGTGGGTAGACTTCCACATCTTCGCGGGACCACGATTCTGCTGAAGGAATCCTCGCGGTCACTGATCCTTAGGCAGGGGGAAGACACTGGTGATCAGTATTACTATTTCGGGCTCTCCCTCCTAGTCTGTTCAGGCCAGCATAGTGAAATCCAAGCAATATGGCTGGAGAGAATCATCTCGTTATATCTTGTTTTACAACCCTTACTCCTTCTGCTCGTTGCAGGTCCTCTACACTCTGGCGCTTCGAGGCGCGCCGAAAGATGTGGACACTGAAATGATTATAGCCCTTCAAACCGTGGACATCTTCAATGAGGAGCATCTGAGCGAGCAGTTCCTGTGCGAAATCAGTGTTGAGGGTCAGGTAAGAACAAACCAAAGCATTGACTTGAATAATCATGATTGACGCAGCGTGCCCCTACTTTCTCTAGGTTCCCGTGCTCATGAATCCCTCCACCATGGAAAATCCCATGCCCAATAGCCTCAAAATGACCTTTTACATCGGATCGGATCGAAATACCCTGAACTCTTCCCAGATGCCCATGGCGCGCAGAGCTCGTCGACCTTCATGCTCTGAATTATTTCTCGCTCTCCCTTCCGACTCCCCCGCATGTTGCGAAGGGGTTCGAAACTGCAATTCTCCAGAGACTCGAAAACCCAGACATTTCCGATAGGTATCGGAAAGCTCTCGAGTTTAAACTAGGCGTATATGTCCCGACACACAAGGCTCCCTCCTTCCCGGCTCCTAGACTCTTGAACAGGCGAGCTGAACATAAACAGAGTCCGGCGGGGTAAAATCAGAGGACTGGTGCCTCCCGAAGTCGCCAAAATGGAAAAGAACGCGACAGAGCTCCGCGCCTCCCTCGCCGCGCTGCTCCCTGATGATCCCAGGCAGTGGATATATAACAACAAACCGACTGCACTCGACGCACATCTCGTGCCTTTTATTGCTCGGCTGACTGACGTTGGGTGGGCGAACCTGATTCCCCAGAAATTGCGCGAATATGCAAGCTGGGCATGGCAGGGGCACGAATGGTCCACCCTGATGGCTGGTCGAACGCCTATGGTCCCTCCGCGATGAGAGATGGCTTTGACATTAGACTAGACTCAAACAAACTCGCTGTTCGATCCAATATCCCGTGTGCTTTCTTAATTTCGGTCTTCTCGCGCAGCGACGAGACAAGCAACCTCTCGAGGTTGTGCAACCCCAGGGTCGCGAATTTCATAAGATAATCCGCGAGGTGTGATCACCATTGATGATAGATATCTGAGAGGAGGGAATGCTAGATCTAGGTTACTGCACGGAATTCAGATCAAAGCGCCCAGTGGCTGACGCAGGGCAACCTTTGAGGGCTAGACGGGGCCAGACATGAAGCTACATGGAGATGCGGAAGAAATCCGAAAAGACAAGGCTGCTGTTGGCGACTTGTTCTGCCCCGTAGCGCCCTGCCATTACATAGCTTTATGGACATTCATTAGCAGTTACATAGGTGCACAATATCGCCCCACATTACATGGGTGATGATATTCTATCTTCACCTTCCTCCGAAAGTTAACCAGCTGGTGACATTTAGATCAGTAAAGCAAAGACCTGTCTCAGCAAAGACTGGTCCAGGCGGCGACCTATTTGGAGCTTAAGGACTTGGGGGGTGCGGGGGATGAGCCCAAGGGCTGGTGAGGCCTTCAGCAACTGCCCCTAGGCTCTGGTGCATCCTCTGGCGTTGGCCTAGCTTCTCTACTCACAGTTTTACTACTGCGAGTCCAGAACTAGAGACTGCAAGATCCGCCAAAGGCCCGGAAAGAATGGCATCGTGCCAAGGTCTTCACCATCAATTGCCCGTCATTCATAAACACCTAGGTTAGTAGACACCGCCCGTCCAACTCTCTTATTCCAATCTGCTATCTCCTGCGCGCCTCCCTTCGCCGCCCAAACTCTTCTAGTTGAAACAGCGTGCCGCTCTTTCTAATGCTTGAATTATCCTCCAACACAATATCTTCCCACCAAACTTTTGTTTCCAGTGGCCTCAGCTGCAAGAGGCGGGAATTCTGACGTTTGAAGCTCAACCTGGCCCGAGAACAGGGTTCTATGTCTATCCCGAGTGGCATAGCAAATTCCACCCAGAGAGGCACGGTGGGAAACATTGTTGCTCCTGTACCAAACGATGGATTGGCGTCCCGGCTAGCCAGAAGACAGTGCCCCGTTTGTGGCCGAATTTTTCTGAAGACCGATCATCTCGACCGCCATGTTCGATCACACACCAAGGAAAAGCCCTATGTCTGTGCCACTTGCGGCAAGCGATATGGTCGATCGTAATTACCGACAGCCTCCATCCAATGCTTACGGTTGTGCTCTGTGAAACTGATTGGTCTTTGTTATAATAGGGATACTCTGTTGCGCCACGAAGGTGTTCATAACCGCGAGAAGCCTAGTGACGGAAACGCTACGCAGCTGCCTTCTCCAAAACGGCGTAAGCCTCATGAGCCGCAAGGTAAGCTGCCAGACCCCGGTCAGTGCTGAGAAACTTGTGTCGAGCTCACGACATCTCTAATAAGATCGTCAGAGTCGACGACATGCCCGCTGCAAAATGAGAGAACTATCCGGCGCAGTCAAACTTCTTCAAACGTTCCACTTACTCCCGCGGCCGCCCTACGAGAATATCACTTTGGTATGGTCGCTTCTGCTGTAAACTCGACCCTCTGTGATATGGGCCACCAGCGTGGTCCGAATGGCCCGTCCGAAGAAGGTGGGACTGTGGAGGTACCAGTGGCAGCACCTCTGATGGATCAAGTTGCTTTGCATCCTCTTCAAGGCGAACAACCACAGAATGTTCTTCTCCACCAGGCGGCAGTCAACACGGGGATAGATATGGATCTCCCCACCTTTCCCTCAAATCAGTCCGTGGATTTTGACAACGAAACCGCTGCCTTTATATGGGAAGATATCGACCTGGGTGACCTCAATTCATATTTCTTGGACCCCTTACGCTCGTTGGAAGACTGTCCGAGTCGTCTTCCAAAAATTACGCAAACAAGGCCAGACCCCGGAAAACTTGCAGAGGAAACCGGTCTAGCACAGAGCCACAATGCTGCGGCCGCCGCTGTGGAGCAACTGTGGTTTACAAGGCTTGAAAGCGACTGCGGTAATACAGCTAATAAGCTTGCACATACTGCCTCCGGTGAATCGACTCCGAAGGGATCGAAATGTGCTCGCGAAGATATCAACGAAGTATATCGCATTAACCTGACTAACAGGCTCCGCCCACGATATTCTGAGGAACCACTACCATCAACTGACTTCTTGGTGAGTGTCATCGTTGTGGATAAGATCAAAGGAGACCAGGCTTGCTGACAATGGTTATTTGCAGAAGCTCAGTTTGCAGATGTATTTCGATCGTGTAAACCCATCGTTTCCGATTTTCCATGCTGCTACATTCCGACCAACAGAGGAGAATGGCTTTCTTCTCTTGTCTCTCTGTGCTCTTGGCTGTCTCTTCGTCGGGAGTGAGGAAGCTACACGCTACGGGTCTACCCTTTTTGAAAGACTCCTCCGAGCAATGATGACCTCGGTGCGAGCTTTGTCTTTTCTTCAACTCTTAGCTCTGCTGACAAGCCTGAAAGTGGGATTTCGTCATCGCTAAGCATGCAGAGGAGAAAGTACCTATGGTCCAGACGGCTCTAATAGGACAGACTTTCATGATGTTATCAGGAGTAAGTCTCCATCACACATCTTACTATATCTTCGATGCGCAGCATTCACCTGTGGACGTAGAACCCTCGCCATGTCGCCATCGCTTCAGCTTTTCACGGCACAGTGATATCGGTAATTCCTCCCTTGGAACCTCTCAAAACAGAGATAGTCCTTAACAAGGCCTAAGTGGGCTCGACGCGCAGATCTGATGACTTTGAAACACGAGCCTGTCAACCTTGAAGGCCTAAGCGGATCTCAGCTGGCAAGTGCCTGGCGTAGCTGGGCACGGCGAGAGGAAATGCAAAGGTACGAGGCCTCGGATGTTTCCTGTGTTTGGTCTATCAAGGTGTAAATTGCTGACTCGGTGTTACTTCTGAATGATAATAGGACGGCACTCGCGGTTTTCATCCACGACGCCGAGCTTGCAGCTTTATTTCACCACGAACCATTTCTTCGGTATGGCGGTAAAAATGCGCCCATAGCCAGCTCCTCGGAAGCCTTCTCTGCAGCTACGGTCAACAGCTGGGTGCGGGCAATGCGGAAAGACACGAATAATGGGCTACACGACGGGGCCGCTGCGACTCCCTCTCCATCACTAAGATACCAGCTACCAAACGAAGCATGCTCTCACAGCATGTTCAGTGCATATGTTATCCTGGAATGTATCGGCGCTGCCATCTGTGAAGAAAGGGTGGCCGGCACGCTCGACACCACCGCGGCACGAAAATATGAAACGGATCTCATCGCGTGGTATGAGGTGTTTGGAGAAAAGGCAAAGGCCGAATCCGATCCTCAGTTTTTACTCGTCCTCTGGCACTGGACCTTCATCTCGCAATTCGTCGATCTAAATCGTTTGGAGTTAGCGGCAGGGAAGAAGGGAGTCGTGGCTGCAGACTCGTCTGTCGAATACTTGACTGAGTGGTCTTCTTCGGTTGCGTCGAAGAGATGTCTAATCCACGCTTATCTCCTCCAGAAGCACATGGAGGGCAGGTCAACGCGACGTCCTGTGGCAATCCACGTTCCTCGATGTCTCTTTTCCGCCGCTATCTCCTGGTCGTCATTCTTCCTCGCACTCCGCAATAACGCGACCCAGGATATCGAGGGATCCCAGAAGAACGTGGGCTTCGCAGAGTTCCGCATGCTCGGCCTGGATTTCTCCCACCAGTGGTCCGACGTAATCGGCTTTCGGAACGGCAATGTCGTGACGATCATGGGAAACACTCTGTGTACACTGGCGGATATGCTCAGGCAGACTGGCCATTGGGGAATTGCCCAGCGGTTTGCCCAAATTCTTGGTCCCCTCATTCACGAGGGGGACGAAGGTCTGCTTCCGCACTAGCACCACTGAATGGAAGTGAAGCAATACCGAGATAAAGGATAGACCCATAGGATTACGAATATCCGAATACCTGAAGCAAAGTGCTGAAATACTTCCACAACGGCTACAGCTCTGTTAGAGAACGTTAGCTTCTGTATCCATATTTGGAGAACTTCTTCTCTAGTCAGATCGAGAACTGAGCTGTTTAGAGATAGGTGAAAGGGATGTATATTTAGATTGAATTTCAATCAAAATCAGCTTCTCGCGCCCCTTACATCCTGAGCAGTTTTTGAATGCTCTTAGTCGTCGCCTCGGGGCATTCTAGTGTCCAGAAATGTCCCCCGGGCATATACTCCACCGCCACATCCGCCGCATTAGGCAGATAGTCTCTGGCCTTCTCGTAGAACTCCCTGGGCTGCGTCTTGCTGTCGTAGCCCTGGATGATCATCACGGGACACTTCCATTTCGCCAGCAATCTATTCCTTCGATCCAGCCACTCGGCACGGAACGAGGAGGAGTTGAAATACCGTGGGACGGCCTTGGTGACGCCCGGATACGAGTACTCCTGGATGACGCGCGAGAATTCGTCGTCGGGAATCGGGATCTTCGTGATCCAGGTGTAGACGAAGCATACGAAGCGCGTTGGGTCAGACATGAGGCCCGTATATGGAGCGTCCATGAACAAATCGCCTTGCGGTGCTAGGGCCGGGTTGAAATGGTAGAGGTGCTGCTCCCCTCTTCCGTACCGGAGGATGTTGTCAGGGTGAAGCGCAACAATGTAGTCGGCCTGCACGGTCCCTCGGTCATGGGTGACCAAGTTGAATCGCTGCAAGCCAATCTGCTTCAACATGCCGTACAGTTGTTCCGCGGCCCCCTCGTGGCGATAATCCCCCGGTCTCTTGTCCGACTGCCCATAGCCCTTCAAATCGGGCGCGACGCATCGATATCCCTGATCCCGAGACAAAGTCGCCATTTGATGATGCCATTGAAACCACGAGTCCGGGATGCCGTGGAGGAATACCACGACCTCCCCCGAGGCCGGCCCCGTCTCGACATAGTGAAATAGCACCGTCTCGTGATCCCCAGGCGCCTCGACAAAATGATGTGTGAATGTGACCCCGTCAAGCTGTTCAGTGTCGCCTTCCACGTCGGCACGTCGGGGTTTCACCGAAGCGAATTGGCGTGCGCGCTGTTCAATCTTGTCTTCCGGCGGAAGGAAATTCTCTATTGCCTGGGCGGCCCGTGCAGGCAGTTCACTGTATTGATGCACAGTCATTGTGATTAGATTGGATGCCCAGAGAATAGAGCCAGGACTGGATCTCAGCAGTCGAGAATCATCCGACAAGAATTCAGACCTTCCAGAGTCATTTCCGCGTTATATAAAGGTAATATTTAGGCCCGCGGAGGATGAAATTGACAGCGGAACCCAGGATTCAAATCAGTGCGATTGAGGCAAATGGGAGACAGCAGCCAACCCACAACGCCCCGCGGATTCACCAGGATTCTGCCCTCGCGAGTTTCCCGATTTTCAGCTTTGCCAATGCCCCGCGCGATCCAGAGGCAGAAAGAAACTCTGGGGACGGGGTTGTCCAAGACTCCGCAATATACGACGGGGCGATGATATTGTTGTGGGGTCCCCGCAGACGTCATTGCGACAACGAACCTCTTCGTTTACAGGCAGGGACAACAATATCAAGGGCTAGCCACTGCTTCCTTGCCCCGTCGCAAAACGAAAAGGCAGCGGAAACTTGTAACGTCTTGCTTATGCTGCCGCCGCCGCCACATGGGTGGAAATGGTCTTGCCAAACCCTGCCTTGTGCTGTGGAGAGGATATCCTTACCCTGGCCCTACCCGCCAGGAGACCAACTAGACAACATGAGGAGAGTGTTGCAGCGGGTTTTTAGACATTATTCAATGGCCATTTCTTCATTCTCACTCTAACTTACCGAAGGGGTAGGCGGATTGCGGACGGTATGGAAAGTCACCCATAACAATACTAAGCGGTAAGGCATGTCAGAGAGATAGTCGATGGAGGAGTCCACTGTTTGGCTCTACCTGATTTGCTAGCATGAGTTTCTAAAGAGTCACCTTGCTGTGACGACAGTGTCTATCTTTATATCCAGCGCCCGCGGCTCGCCTCCCACATTTCTTCTGAACATGGCATCTCCATTTGCGCGTTATTCAACGAACGTATATTGCGCATAATGGTTCATTCCTCCGGCAGGACTACAGGCTCCTAAGGTTCGGTCCTGCTGTACTCTTTCTACACAGAGCTAGTCCTGGAAGAGATCCAGTTTCTCTTCATCCCATCTTTCCAATGCCTCTTCAAACGAGTGACGAATGACGTCCGCACGAGCCTTGCTTCGGGGCTTCAAGCTGACGGGGAACACCTTGGTGTTGGTAATGATGCTATTTTCATATGCGGTTGCGGGGTCGCAAGAAACAGGGATTTCGTTGCCCAGGTCATCCGTGGCCGGTGTGATGTCAAATGCCCACAGTAACCTCGCCGCGAAAAGCAGCACGCTCGCCTCAGCCAGATGGATGCCCGGACAGATGCGCCGGCCCCATCCGAAGATGTAGTGATCGCGTTGCATGGGATCGGCTTCTAGGCTGGATTCAAACGTCGATTTGGTATTCCCGTCATAGCGCTCGGGATAGAAGATATCCGGGTTTGGGTAGTGATTTGGGTCCTGTTGCATGGCCCAAACATTACCGAAGATGATACTGTCTTTGGGGATATAGTAGCCTTCGATTTCATCCTCCTCCGGGTTGGAGTGAGGGATGCCCATGTTGATGATCGCTCGCCACCGCATGACTTCTTTGACTATCTGATTGATGTAATTCATCTGGGACAAGTCTTCAAATGTTGGCAGTCGCGTTTCGGGTACTGCGGCATCGACTGCCTCTTGACCTTTACGCATGACCCGTGGGTTGAGAAGCATGGCCATGGTAAAATTCATTAGCACAATAGATGTTGTATCCGAGCCAGCTTCCATCAGTGTCATAGCTTGGTATGCGATGCACCTGTCGTCGAGATACTTCTCCGTTTGCTCCGCCTCGCTCATGCCTTTTCGCTGTTCGAATAAGGCGCGAATTAGACCCGGGTTGGGTACTCCGCGGTCCATCTGGTGCTGAGTGCGGTCTAACAGCCCTTTCATGAAAGGCCACTGCCATTTGAGCTTCCTGTTGACTTCGTGCTCCCAGGTTCGCAAGAAGTAGGGTAGCTTCTTGAAAATGGGGAATATGTCCACAAGATATTGCCCGGGTTGTATCGTCTTAGACATGTCGTCCATGATCCAGAAGACTGTCTTGACGATGTCATCTCGAAGCGAGGTGACCCGGTGACCGTACGCTAAAGTCATCATGACGGATAAAGTGTATCTGCGGAACGAGGCCTGGACATCGGCATAGTTGGATCTTTGGTGCTCGACGGGACTCTCTGCCCAGCTAAGAAGCTCATGCAAGGCTTGACGGGATTCCAGCTCTTGGATCTTATGATTTTCCTTGGTGCGTGAAATTGACAAAATTAGGTGCATCTGCCGTCGGAACGCCGCGTGCATAGGGCCACTGGGGATGAAAGCTATCCGTCGGTTTTGAGACAAGAGCTCACTTCCCACGTGTGGTGAATTCCTGCTGCTGAATTTGCCACCCCTCTTCTCAAACAGCTCCTTTGCGAGTCGGGGATCATTCACTGAGATGATGGCTTTAGGACCAACGGTGACCTTAAAAATCGGACCATATACTTGAGCCCACTTCTGGAAGGTCAAAAAAGGAGAAACTGGGTCAAACTGAAACGAATTGTCGCCGAGTTTGTTGGTAGGAGGCCCGGGAATCTTTTTTAGTCCTCGTTTCTCGGCCTCTCCAGGTTGAAGAAGATAAAGTCCAAGGTAGTAGAGACCGAGAATAGAGAGTATGGATACTGCAGAAAGAGATGGATGGCCTGCTATTGCAATTGCAGTTCCCGTGATGAGCAGCATTTTGGTTGAAACTTCGAGTATTGGTTGATCTTTGCGAGGCTGCCCTTAACGCTTATTTTAGAAGAGGAGAGTGGCCAGCTTAGACGAGATATAGAAACGCTGTCGGCGGAAGGGAGCCTGTGCGAATGGCATAATGCTTAAATAGGCAATCTAGAGGTATCAGGATTGTCCTTGTCAGTTGTGGAGGGGCAGATGTGGTTCGTGCCGATCTGATGGAGGTGGAAGGAACGCTGTGAATGAAGTCCCGAGTCGGTATACTGATCATCTCAATGCGCACGTAGTTGGGACTGTGCATCAGACTCGCCCGACGTTCACGGCAACGCCTGGCCCAATGGAAAGTGGCATTTCCACTCTGGGAACGAGCTAACTGGTTTTGGATTTGCGGGGACCCCTCGCCCCCCTTCCCCCCACAGCTTTGAACCAATTATCACCGTGAATTTGAGCTGCACAAAATCAATTCCTGTTTTGTTGCGTCCACCACACTGCCTTCGTAGCACAGGCTTCCGGCAATACCTGCTTGGGCTATGCTGAAGATCTCGTTGCTTGCCTGCGCGACCCTTTTTGCCCCGTTCTAACTTCACCGTAATCAGCCATGCCCCGTCGGCTCTCCGTTACCGAGTAGATCGACGCCATTGGCTTTCTTTTCCCCGTGGGCAATTCCTGGAGGATCTGGAAGTCATTGCAGGCGAAAGAACCGCGATCACCTGAACAATGAAGCTGAACACGAAGACCAGAAATCGGAGAACGTGGGACCCGAGGAAAAGCGTAGGACTTATCAAGGTGCCGGATCCCAACCCTCGGTCAGAAGAGTCGAAGCTCCATCTATTTCAACTCATCACAAGCTCCGCAAGGCGGCGTAGCATTCCGCGAATAGATGGCCCCAGATAACTTGTCTGTGATCTCAACGTCGTGGGTCGAGAAGTCCATTACTCAGCCGCTGCTCGAGAATGTGGTGACTTACTCACCGAGACTGATGCTTGTGACTCTCGGTCGCATGGATAGTCGTCTCTGCGTCCTCCTGCTGCTCTTTTTGTTCATGATCATAGTCAAAAGGAGATATTTCAATGGCCTATCTCATATTTCGGGCCCGTGGCTGGCGTCTTTCACGCATGCCTGGAGGCTGAAGGAGGCAATCAAAGGGCAGGTCTGGCGGACTGAAGAAGCCCTACATCGCAGACATGGTGCGTATGGACCCAGGTACCTGATGTCGCACAGCCTCGTTACCACAAAACTGTGCTTGTCATGGCGCCTCAACCATCAAAACATGCCATTGCTGATGAGACCAGGTCCGGTAGTTCGAACTGGTCCTGACGAAGTAATTGTAAATGACCCTAGTGTGTTGGATGTCATATATGGCTTTGGAAGCAAATTCCAGAAGGTGTGAAAGTTTCATGTCACCGGTCACAATGAGTGCTAATCCTAGATTTCCCTCACACATAGACTGACTTCTACCGTCTATTCGGCTTCCCGGACATATGGGGCGTCCACGTTTTCAGCACCATCGATCGTAACCACCACAGCAAGCTGAGTCGTCACATTGCGTCAGCATATACCATGACGGCCCTCGTCGAGCTTGAACCTCTGGTGGACGATTGTATCGACCTCTTCGTGAAGAAAATTACCTCACACCTTTCCGACCCGGGTCCGATGAACATGGCAAAATGGTTCCAGTGGTATGCCTTCGACGTGATTGGACAGCTCACATTTTCCACCAAGTTCGGGTTCATGGAACAGGAAAAGGACATTGAGAATGCCACCTGGACAATCGATCTCTTATTGTTCTATGTATCTGTCATTGGGCAGGCGTTCTGGCTTCACTGGCTTCTGCTCGGTAACCCTCTTGTGGCGTGGCTTACCAAGGGTGCTTCCAGCGGGTCGATCATCATGGTTGTAAGTACATTTGGAACGTCCCATCACAGCAAAACTTCACTGCCGGGAGGCTAAACCGAGTTTGAACGTCAGATGGCGAACAAACAGATCCAAGATAGACAAGCCCGAGGATCCAATCACCGAGACATGCTCTCTCGTTTCCTCCAGGAGCATGAGAAGAAGCCTGATGAGTACACGGTCAAGGACCTTCACACGACCTGTGCAATGAACATGTGAGTCCCCCATCCCTCTACTCATCCATTTCCTACGCACTTAGAATCCGTCTGCGTGAAGCTGTTTCATTGTGGCTCATAAACATCAAAATACAGTGCTGCAGGCTCTGACACCACGGGAATTGCCTTGACCGCAACCTTGTTCCACCTCTTGAAGAATCGACACACCCTCCAAAAGCTGCGTGACGAGATAGATCGGTTCGATGACGATGGCAAGCTGTCCCGGCCAGCGAAACTGGGCGAGACCCAGTCGATGCCGTATCTACAGGCGGTGATCAAAGAGTCCATGAGAATCCATCCGTCCGTGGCCTATATCTATCCACGTTACGTCCCAGAAGGGGGTATCATGGTGGCAGGAAAGCACATTCCTGCTGGAGTATGTCTTCCCATCTTGATTTTGATCATTCTTTTGTCCCTACCCAAGAAGGGATGCTAACTCAAAAACCGCGAGACAGGCGCGTATCGGAATGAACGCCTATATGATGCACCGAAACAAAAGCATATTCGGAGACGACGTCGAATTATTCAGGCCGGAGCGATGGCTCGGATGTGACACCAAGCGCATGGATCACTACATGTTCCAGGTAAGAACTGCCCGTGCTAGCCTATGAAAAGGTGACTTTTCGCTACATCTGGTTTCTTCTTCATAATCAGCTTCTGCTCCTCTCATATGGATATGGCATTGATACACGTAATTAGTTCGGCGCGGGTCCCTACACCTGCATGGGAAAACATATCAGCATTCTCGAGATCAACAAGGTTATAGTCGAACTCGTCCGAATATTCGACATCAGCTTGGTCGACCAGGATTTCGAGTTCAAATTGACCAACTGGTGGTTCCTGAAACCGGAGGATTTGCCGTGTGCTTTTACGAAGCGGGACCGCGGCGTACAGGTCCATGTATAGATACGAGTTCAATGTACATATGTTGGGGGGAGGCATACTCAGTCTCAGGAGCGGAAATGAGTTTCAGAGAGGCCAAGATTCGTACCCGAGACCGAGGAATGCTAGAGAAGTGTTGGCAGCTTTAAAAAAGGGCGCAGTGTTAGCCATGCCGACCCTATTCAACAGCCATGGGGCCCTAAGCAGACGCCTGAGGGAATTGCGAGACCGCAAAACACTCTTTATATTCGGTTGATGATAGTTGAGCTGCACAGATACCAGGAATGATTGCGCTTCTAGCTGGAATCTTCCCTAGTTGGGCCGAGGATACTGTTAGAGATGCTGCAATTCCTCCGCCCATACCGTTCTGAGCTCATCGGCAATACACACAGTGCGTCGACCAGATTGTCTCTGGCACTCCTCAATGAGCTCGAGAGTGCGACGCCGCTCTTGAACACCCTCTGTCACCAGCCCCGCAATATACAAACACTGTGTGGAAATGAAACTGAAGGGATCCGTCATTCCGGAACTGGCGATGAGTAGGATTTGTTCACGCGACCGATTGATCAGCCGTCGCACCGATAACGACTCTGTAGTCGAGGTACAGATACCTTGACCCTGTCGCCTGGACGAGGATGGAAGCCCACTGAGCGCCAGCAATATTTGACATGCATGGTACATTTGAATTCCGACAGCTGCCTCCTCCGTCAGCCGACATTAGAAATGGAGGGCCAAGCTGGTGTGCGCTTACCACAGTGTGGAAACACATACCATATGGCTGATATGTCCCGCGGGTGCTGGTACGCTGTAGTTTCCTCTTTCTGCTCTTCCTGCAGCACCTGGCTCACAACGAACCGTGTCATCGAAGGGGGAAGCATCCGTTTCCACTGCTCGAGGTCCTGTCGAAGTTTGTCCCTCGTTCTTTGCCTTATATTCAGCTCTCCTGCAGCCTCCACCCTTTCTCGATCCTGGTAGTCGTTACAAAAGCTGATGCACTGTCCCAGCAGAAACATGGCACGGTTGGCGATCTCTTCATGAGATAGTCCATCAAAAGAGTCAACTGCACGTGGCTCCCAGTAGTGTTCGTCTAAAAACATACGTCTTCCGGCATGCAAGGCTGCCCAGGTGTCTGATCTATACCATGTCCAATATACGACTCCTTTGATTCCCGGTGAATCCCCGTTTACTTGCCACAACTGAAGGAGGGAGGCGATACCACGGAGGTGTGAGCCAAAATTCTCTCCGACTACGTCCAGCATCTCATAACTATGCAAAGACTGCAGTCAGTACATTGTACCGGGGCTTTTAATAACGGGGAGAGGCAAATGGGAAAGGTAAATCGCACCTTGAGAGCATGATGCTAGATGCCAAGATTTCATCACTGCGTGCTGAATCAGGTTGCATCAAGAGAGAACTGAAGGCTTTCAGCGCCTTTTGGTAGTATGCGACCGCGATGTCCTCTGTTATTTGTGGCTCGTGGCCTGCCCGCTTCAGTGCCAACTGCTTCGCAGAAATAGCAAGGCACGAGAACAGAACAGCTGGGCACTCAAAAGCTAACATAGGAACGATTGTCGAATATGGATTTTCCGAGGAGAATGCTTCGATCTGATCAAGCGCATGAGCTCGTTTCTAACGGCAAAAGGTGCACGTACATACCCATCGCGCAACTCCTTCCACGAAATTTCTGAATATGAACAACTCCATCTCTGTCAGATTAAGCGGGCTATTAGATCGAAGCTCCGCTGGAGGAGGCGAGACATTGATTGGACCTCTGGCGGAATAGCTTTTTGAGACAATGTTATGTCTGAAACCGTATAGCTCATCATGCCTCGAGTATAATCCGGTAGGAGGGCAACGTATGCTGGCTAGATGTCCATGGGGGTGTACAGGCTCTGAAGTGGGCAACGGTGATGCTGGTGGTAAGCTTTGAGTTGAGTCTCTGTCTAGGTGTTTCCGCGAGAACAGCCCAGCTGGGCTGCTGCTTTGGTTCGAGTAGGTTGGACTACCTGTGTCAGAGATCTCTTTCTGGGTCACGTCTTCATGGAGGTTGAGGTCTTTGTAAGTACTGTGCTGATGTGCCTGAAATGGTTCGTATGAGGAAGATTGGTCAATGAGATATTGAGCAAGGACGGGTCCAAAAGAGGCAGGGGTAGTGACGGGCTGAACATTGTCACTAGTTGTTGGCTCGAACGACGGGGAAGTCGCTTTGGAATTGACCGCGGTGTTGGTACCAGTACTTGACCCTTTGGCCTTGCTTCGACTTGGGTTATCGGCCTGGTCAGAACTAAAGCGGCTTCGATCAGGCGCCCTGGCATCATACGAGCACGGCCTATTCTTCTTCGCACAATTGCCGCATATTGGCTTGCGCTCATCGCACTTTACGTGCCTTGCCCTGCATACACGACTGCATGTCCACCATCTCTGGGTCAGCGTTGTGATGGATTACCCTTGCAACCGCGGATCGACAGGGGTGATTGATTGGGGTGCGAGTAACATACCAGCCTGTAGTAACGCGAAGACGTGTAATAGTATGCTGGGAGCCACCGCTGCAAGACATGGTATCGAACACCTATCTCGGGCCTGCGTCTCGAGTCTCGTTGCGAGAAACTGGCATCTTGACATTGTCGAGATTGAGTCCCTTGCCCTAGCCCGCTTCGGCGCTTCGGCTACCGTTATCAAGGTCGGGATGTTGGCGCCAACAGAAACGGGCTGAAGGCACGGATTAGGCCGTCACCTTCTTGAATCGGGCTATGCTGTTCCTTGCCTTATCTTTTGCACGTATGTCTACCTATCTCTTGTGCACCCTTCCTATCTTCGGAGTCTGGCTGAACTCAAACTGTGATATCTTGCGCCGGACACCTCGTATGGTGTCGCCGCCACAAAAAGCCACGAAGGCTAACAGATCGCCTAGCAGTCTTAATACGGAACCAAAAGCTAACTTCATATACGCCTTTAAGAAACAACAGTACCTCCGGGGTATACGGATGGTCTGCACTACCAAACGCATTGATTGAAACCCAGCGTCTACTGGAGGCTTGTTGCTGGGACTCTCGCCGTCTTGTATATTCCGTTTTCTCCCTCTAGGAACCTAAGTGGACCAAAAATCTATATCTTTGTCTATCGATGTTCTATAAAGCCGATAATGTTGCTGCCAACACACTCAAATGCCAACATGCGGCAGGTTTGAGATGTCATCCGCGCTCAAACCTTCGCGTCCTCGATGTCGGCTTTTCCTCACAGTTGACCTCCAGTCAACCTGTTCTCGAAACCAGGAGGTTCGATCTTGGCCGCTAGCCTCCAGCAACGGTGTTGCTGTTATCGACGCAGCTGAACGCCGACCCAACCTGCCCTGTCCTGTATTGATCAATAATGCTCACCACGTTGGCGTAAGTCCCTCCGACGGTGATCAACAGACCAAGCACGAATATTCCGATATGTGCATACCACAGGACCATCATTGTTGCCGAACGCTTGCGGGCGCCTTCGTTCAGGACAAACCAGAGGACGGCAGGGATACAGACACCCAGGTATCCGAAGCCGAGGGCCCCAATCAGTGAAACTAGACTACCGTAGAACGGAATCGCCTCACACAGAATCCAACCGAGCAGCCCCGTTCCGTATGTGCACGACAACCAAACGGCCCAGTGTGTCTTTGTATTCTGGGTCAGATGGTGGGTGTTTCGCAAGATGCGGACAAAAATGCTTTTCCCTGCCACATGGACGCAGATCATGGTGCCCGCAATCAGGCCTGGGATCGCAATGGCGTATGAAATTATCTTGATTGTTGGACCTGCGGAGCCCAAGGCGGGCGAGGCAACCCATCTGCCGCAATAGGCATAGACGGTCGTAGCCAGCGCCAGATAGGACGACGTGATCCAGGCCATGCAGACATACACGCTCTTGAAATAGTCTTGTGGTCTTCGCATCTCCGATATCACCGGAACAAACCCGGACGTATTGGCCGAGGACGAAAAGATGGCCAATGAAGCCGACCATGCAGTGGCAAAGGTTGTTCCAGCAGGAGGAAGGGCAGCGAAGCCAAGGTCGAAGTCTCCTGTCTGAGGCGCGGCCGCCGGGCGATCCCGTACGGTGACAGCAATGACCACAATCATGATGGCGGTGACAATAGAAATGAACCCGACCCAGGTAATCCAGCCAAGATTGTGAATCTTCCTGATGCTGGCAACCGAGGCAACAATGATGTAGGCAACGAAGCCAAATGTGACACTGCAAGTTCCGTGCTTCGAGACGGCGTTGAGGGCAATGGAAAAGCCGAGGGTCGAGACACCCGCACAGAGGATCCAGGTAAAGAGGTAGACGAACTCGGTGATCTCTTTCACGACCCAAGCGTTCTTCTTCGTAAACCCCATCTCAAGCGCCGCGATGTGCGCACTGTCCGCTACGGTATGGACCGAGGGGTACCTGAGCTTGAACTGGCCCTGGAGAACCGCGCAATAGGTGTTGAGCGCACCCCAGAACACAATGAAAATGGCCCCGGCAACAGCACCAAGGTTGTAGAGCGCCGCGGGGATGGAGAGGACACCCGCGGCAAACGTCATCTTGAGGAAGAACATGGACGCCCTGATCCAACCAACTGTTCTGAAGTTGACGCCATCCTGTCCGGTCACAAAGACTTCGGCCTCGTCGACACTTCCAAATTTGGACCCGACTTCCACGGGGCTGGCCGGCGTTATGGCCTCGATATCGGGCCTCTTTTCTGAGACTGCGCTGTCCATATTTCATCCAAAATGACTTGACACCTAGTACCAGGAAGACAGAACTGTGACTACTTGAGATAGAGGATGATGATCGAGAGACGGATTGGCAGAATTCTCGAGTGGCTGAGTTTCAGAGTGGCCATGATATATACCTGAGTAAGGACGACTATCTCTCATATCAGCCTGCCTTAGCGAGGCCCGAGTTACCAATCTCCTCCTCCAGGGCACATGTCTGGAGAGACAAACTCGCAATGCCTGTCCCTTGGGCTGGTGGAGACAATGGGCAGTCTCTTATCGGGACTTGGGGGAAGTGTGCGAATGGTGCTTCTGCTGCCTTGGGTCTTGGACAACTGTTCCCGTCTTTCATGATTACCTTCCATGAAGGGCAATGATGTGCGGAACTGCGGCAAGCTCTGAAGTTAGCCAGGCGATTGAGGACAAGGCTATTACCATTATGAGCGGTACAGAGATACTTGTGGGTACCAGAGAAATCTCGGCTGCGTCACGTGTTGGATTTCTCGAGCCGAGATATTCTCGAGACCAGTGTTGTGAAAATAGATTTCATAAATACAGCGTCACATTCCTGACCTGTTTATTTCAGTATTATAGATGTAATCTTTCCAAAGTTCCTGGGAGCCAAGGAGCTAGTTTATTAGCGTTTTCCTAGTAAACTAGTTCGTGGTTGACCCTTCAGGAGGCATAAAAACCTGCCTGATTTGACGCCCAATAGGCCTGTGTGCCTTGAGAATAGGGCCCTATCTGAGGGCCTATCTGCGTGCCAATCTGCGTGCCAATCTGCGTGCCAATCTGCAGTTGCGACTGTGCCTGTGAATAGGC